GAAGAAGAAGTTGTGAGTCACTGCACAGGCGGAGTAGTGACTTCTTCTTCTTCAATAGATGGCTCTGTGCATACAATAGATGCTCCAACGCCACTCACATGGAGTAGTGACTGTCATTCTTCTCGAGTCGGGATGCGTTCCGAAAGTTGCAAAAAAATGGGCACTTACTATTATGTCCCCGACTGTACACTCGTGATCTAAAAGGTATATGCACCGATTTTTTGTTGACTTCGGAACGCGCTCCAACTTGAGGAGAAAGACAACCACTGCTTCATACGTCAGCGCTGTCACTTATTACGAGAGCAGAAGGATGGCATATACGAGTGTCAAATAAGTAGTGATTGTGGCGTAGACACAAATGTCTTGGAGACTTTGAGTTATAATTGAAGAAATGAAGAAAACAAATAGTGATTGTGAAGAAAAGTGGCAAAAAGCTTCATAAAATTTGTAAAACAGCATATTAGAGGAGAATATTAATTGTCTAATAATATTTTAAGTGAAAAATATTTTTAAATTTGAGTGTAAGTTAAAAAAGTTATAAACCATAATTTCTTTAATGTTAATCAATTTGTCATCGACGTTGAATGAATATATATATATATAATGCTATTATTTCCATAGGTGAGGAATTATATTATTGTGTTCAGCAGAAGTAAGCAGCAGACCAAGTTGAGTGATATGAGTATCTTGTTAAAAAAATATCACTCGACTTGGTCTGCTGCTTATTTCTTATGAACGCAATAACATAATTTTCCACCTATGTAAATGATAGCATTCCCAAGTAGCAAGATGACATTTAAAGAAGAATAAAAGTCATTATAGCGTCATTAAGACGTTTTTAATGTCATTATAACGTCATTAAAACGTCATCAAAACGTCATCTTGCTACCTGGGTTACATACATATTCATTTAACGTCGATGGCAAATTTATAGCTATAAAATTATTAACATTAAAGAAATTATGGTTTATAACTTTTTTAACTTACACTCAAATTTAAAAATATTTTTCACTTAAAATATTATTAGACAATTAATATTCTCCTTTAATATGCTGTTTTACAAATTTTATGAAGCCTTTTGCCACTTTTCTTCACAATCACTATTAGTTTTCTTCATTTCTTCAATTATAACTCAAAGTCTCCAAGACATTTGTGTCTACGCCACAATCACTACTTATTTGACACTCGTATATGCCATCCTTCTGCTCTCGTAATAAGTGACAGCGCTGACGTATGAAGCAGTGGTTGTCTTTCTCCTCAAGTTGGAGCGCGTTCCGAAGTCAACAAAAAATCGGTGCACATACCTTTTAGTTCACGAGTGTACAGTCGGGGACATAAAGTGTGAGTCACTACGCAGGAGTGCTCCACAGGCGGAGCAGCAGCTCTTATCCTTCTCGAATCAGGATGCGTCCCGAAAGTTATTAAAAAAAAAGTGACAACTTTTATGTCCACTACCGTACGCACACATTGAAAATCGTGACCGTTGCATTGCAACACTTAAGCTAAGACTCCATGCATGCGGTGAACTGCGGCAAACGGTTGCGGTGACCAATCAGGAGGGAGGCGTAAGTCGGTTGCGGCAAGCTCCGGCATGCGTCTGTCTCCTGATTAGTCACCGCAACCGTTTGCCGCAGCTCACCGCATGCATGGAGTCTTAGCTTTATGGTCTGTTCTTTGTAGCTGCACTGCTGAACTGGTGCAATAAGCTAGAATGAGAAAATCTATATTTGTCTCACTCTTACTTATTGCACCAGTTCAACAGTGCAGCTACAAAGAACAGACATTAGTACGTGAATTCTAAAAGCCGATCGTGCGTATTTTCCGCGATTTTGAATTACCAAAGGCGAATATCGGCGTGTAATGTTTCGTCGAGTGTACCGAAAGCAAATTTCGTGCATTTGTCATAGCGAAGTATTGTCAAGTAGTCGAAAGTAAGTAATTAACGAAACCGGATCGTCGGGAGTGCCAAGTGAAATTACGTGCGTTTGTTACTTAAGATTTGTGTTGTGATCAAGTGTTGTGAAAAAATGGCCTGTTATTATACAAAGTTAAATTTAGTGTTTGTGTTGTGAAAAATATTAAGTGCCTGAGGATATATTTTGCAAGGAGGGACATCAGGAACCATCGAGGGGTAAGTTTATTTTATGTATATCACGTTATTACAATTCGGAGTTACTTATCTCGCGATATTGCGTTTTTATCTTACGATGAAAAAATTATCCAATGAAAAAATTGATGAGGCTGATTATGCTTGTGAAACGAAACATAAAAATCTCATCTAAATATTTTGAAACGATACATTTAATGTTTATTGATATTTTCATTATTAATAGTTCATCACATTTTACATCTTAATCGCATTTTATTAACCCATTCTAAATAAGCAAACGAAATATTACATTCAACCCGAAAGCATTAGTTTTTCAACGAGTCCGCTCGCAGGTCTCTACGATTTTTATAATTCACTGCCCATGTAAATATTACCTCGTGTAAATAATACCTCGTCGATTCCTGGAACTCACGCCGCCGCACGCTTACCCAAACAATATGTCGTAGCGAATCATATTTACTTCCTCAAATTTTTACTTACTCTTTACGAATCCGAAAATCTATTAATCTGGATTTTAGGAAAATTAGTTATACTGCCTTAAAATTAAATAGCATCTTTTCTTTCGATTAGCATAAATATTTCCATGACGTATATATTGATCTATCATTTTTCTCTACATTAATTTCAACATTTCGGACTTCATAATTCTGTAACGTTAGACTGATTTGGTATCTACGGATCATTATTATTTCTAATTTAGATTAGCTTCTTATTACACACGATTTATTAATTTATACTTGGTAACCCATCTATTTTGCATCGATCAATCTAGACATATCGGCTTCAAATTCTCCATAACGCGTAGGCACAAGTTGTTGCAATTTGTGAGGATCTTAGTTATTTTGAACCTAGATTAAAACCTTATCACTCATATTTCATTAATTAATATTTCGTAATCTATCATTTTCGAACCTGTCATTTTTTCAATATTTTGTGGCCTTTAACTTCGTAACGCGTAATCGCAGCTCGATTTACGAGGCTCATAGTTATTTTGGATCTAGATTAAAACCTTATCACCCATATTTCGATAATTAATATTGATAAATGTTCAAAAGTACTATTCCACCAAAAATCGCGGTTTTTTTTAAGCAATTAATAGAATTAGCTATAAGAAGACATGCATACAAGGTATTAAAGTGGGGCTTAAGTTTTTTGTAGAAAAAAATCTAAAAATTAAAATTAAATATTCATATGGTACGTTCCACCTTGCGTAGGGATCTTGCTAATCTCATCTTATATGTACTGTTTAACATTACAGTAAAATTGAAACATGCCTACTTTATTGATATAGAAATCTGCAAACTTCAGTGAATCAGCCTATGTATTTAACTTTGCGGGAAAAAACATCAGTTGATGTAGATAATTTTTTTTTAATTTTTTCGTAAAAAAAACTTAAGCCACCTCCTTAATACTTTGTATGCATGTCTTCTTCTTCTTCTTATAGCTAATTCTATTAACTGGTGCAAAAAAAACCGCGGTTTTTGGTGGAGTAGTACTTCTGAACATTTACCATTATTGCATATTAACATTTACGATGCATATGCATATATATGTTCATGATTGAATATTGAAAATTATAAAATTAAATATAAAAATTATAAAAATGGCCACTCCTATTAGCGTCATTTAGTATTATTGCTGAAGTTTTCCGCGCGGTCTCGAAATATTTCTTCCCGAATTGCGGGCAGTGTGTTGCGTGAAAGATGAGAAGGCGAAAGGGCAAGACGAGAGAGATTTTGACTTAGCGATAAGGGCTGCATTCGGGGAGTCGCTATTTAGTGCTAAAAGCTTGCTTTATTCTTGTTCAACTTGTAACAAAAAACACGCTCATAGCGCTAAATAGTGCATCCCCGAACGCAGCCAAGATCTGCCGCTGACTCGCCTCGTGTCTCCTTCTGCCGCGCGTACGCTCATCGGTGGTGCGACAAAGACGGAGAGCGATTGATCGTCTGTGCTTGTCTAACTTAAGCCAGCGGCACACGGTGCTTGTTTTCGTGCTGGATTGCTTGCTGGATGAAAATACTGCGTTCTGATTGGTGCATTTCCATCCATCTGCGGAAATGCACCAATCGCAGTAAAGAACGCAGTATTTTCATCCAGCAAGCAATCTAGCACGAAAACAAGCACCGTGTACCGCTGGCTTTACAATCTCTTGTAAGGGGAAGTAGAGTGAACAAGAACCGTTCACGCTTTGCTGTTACCGTCAGTACGGATGTAATGTGCACACATTTTCTTAGGGGGCGCGTTGGAATTCGGCAGAAAAAGCGTCCTGGCGTAATCGGCCCGGTAGCCGCTCTCAGGTTTCTCTCTGGTGACTGAAATCAAAATAGCATTTTTGTTTCAAAACTCGATGAAAAAAATCAAAATGCAATTAACGAAGAACGTTAACTAAAAAAAGAATTTTATGCTTTCAAACAGTATAATTATCATTTGTGTAAGAGCTTTTTTTCACACTTAAGAGTTTTTTATAACTGCAATTTTCATCAAACATTTTCACATATGACGAATCTCGATTTATGTTTATGTAACATTGAAAGAAAAAAATGTACTCCACCTTCAAAAATATATATGAAAATTAGAGACTTTAAGCTACAAAATGATTCCTGAACCATCTATCAATTATCATTTTTTTCAAAGTTATAGTCCTTTGGAATTTGATTATTTTTTGCTATAGACCCAGACAGAACAGAAAATCATGACATCGAAATAACGTCAAAATGATGAGGAAAATTCATTTCTTCATCATGATTCGATCATTTTCTCGTCATTTTGGTATCATCATAATCTTATGTTCTACTTGGAGAGAGACCGCTTGGTTAGAGTATTTACGATATGATACAAAATAAAGATAAGCATTGCGTTGTACAAAATTTTTATTTATTTAACGATAGTTTAGAGTCAGCTATATTCGGGGATTATACTTTCCATTAGGTACATTTCATTTGATCAGCTTTATCTCGTATTTTTCTTTTTCAATATTCAAAACGTATACTCAGACATCATGTCGATGCTTCATTAACGCAAGACACAATGAGCTCCGTAGTAATTTTCTTCCCTCTCATAGGAAATATAAATCAAGATTCCTCGACGTATAAATTGTCCCCTTTAAAATTAGGAAGGTATAACTATACTCCCGTTGTCCGAATGTATTTAAGCACAATCATCCGAGGGCATGATCAACTCAGTCTACGCTTTTTCTAAATGAAAGAGCCGGTCCGTCACCATTATATCTTACAATCGATCGTGACGTGCAAGTCTCACAATAAAGTAAGAGGAAAGGAGGTGAAGGAGAACTAAAGAAAAAAGGACGTAATAATCCGCGCACACAGTTAGTTGTTGGAAGTAACAAATAATGTCGGAACCACTATTCAATGGGCCCAATCTAAACGTATTTCAGATACGTTGCGAATACTCTCTTCTCTCTCTCAAATTAATCCGGATCTCCAGATTCGTTTCTAAAGCAATCCGTCTTCTCATTCCTTCTCTTTCGGTTTCTTCACATGGTAATAGACCTAATTGCGAATTCGCTTGGATGCAACTGAACGTAACGGTGCGCGCCTTCGAGAGCTCGTACTCCGCACGAATTGCAGCGTAAGGAGGCGTACGCATAGTTAGCGCAAGTTTATTGGACCAGCGAATCACTCAGCACGCATCGTCACATCGCTTGAAAGAATATATGTACATTATACAATTTCCGCGACACAGTATACATTATCCTGAATATAAACATTTTTCTTTGGGCCGGTTGTTCCAACCTCTTGGTGAGTTAACTGATAGTTAAATCATATGTCTGCCTTTGTCCAAGTTGAAAGAAGAACAAAGACAAACGTATGATTTAACCATCAGTTAACTTACCAAGAAGTCGGGACAATCGACTCTTCGTTAGTAAAGGCGCTTGTCGACTGTGTGCTCTCGCGCGTTAGATTGAACCATCGGATTCGTTGGACGACGGCTTTCGAGCGACGCGCACCGGGTGCGGCGCCTCAGCGTGTATCGAGTGCGCTTTAGCGCGCATCCGAAAACGAACTCGTCCGTTAATAAAAGCTTACAGCAGATACTTTTTATTTTTTTATTTCTTTTTGACGCGTGTGCGCATTATCGCGGACGCTAAGACACTCCCTTTAAGATTATACCGTTGTACTCCGTAGATATATGTATAATATATATACATATATATATATATATGTGTGTGTTATGTATACATATATATATATATGTGTGTGTGTGTGTGCGTGTGTGTGTGTGTGTATATATGTATCGTACAAAGCGTCCCGTAAAATAATAATCAGCTAGAGGTCTAAATCGCTAGCGTCGTCGGCAGATCATTGTCGCGCGTTGTGCTCCGTCTCGAGGAGACAGTCGCGCACGAGCATGCGGGCATGCTGAATGCCCATCTTCAACCTCTCAGCCGCGCTGCGACTACCTGCATAGGACAGGCGAATGTCCCTACCGAGCTCCTCGATAATCACCAACAGTTGCGCGTATTTGCCCTGGCCCGGCACGCTCGGGAAGTTAATTGTGCTGGACGGGCTAGCCTGCGCTACTTGTACAGTCTGCGCGTTCTGCAGGTTCCTGGGATTTGGCACGGTGATCACAGGTTCAGGTATACGCGGGATCTCTGGGATCTTGGGCGGTGGCGGCGGCGGGTCGTTCAACTTCGTTATCGTGATCTCGTTCAGCTTGGCCAGCTCCGTCAGCTTGGCCATCTCAGCCATCTTCGAGTACTCGGGCATCTTAGTGATATCGTTCTGTATATTGGCCATCTTTATCATCTCGTTCATCTTGGTCTTTTCGTTCATTTTGGCAATCTCCTTCGCCATCTCGTTGATCTGCGCAATCTCGTTCAGTTTGGTGATGTCGTTGTTGTACTTGGCCATCTCCGTCATCTTCACCATGTCGTTGAGCTTGGCGATCTCGTTCATGCGCTGTACCTCGTTGATCTTAGCCATCTGCGACATCTTCATCATCTCGTTCATCTTCGCCATCTCGTTGATCTTCGTGATGTCGTTGTACTTGGCCATCTCCGAGAGCTTCACCATTTCGCTCATTTTCGCGAACTCCGACATCTTTGCGATCTCCTGCATTTTCATATATTCAGTGGTCTTGGCGTACTCGGCCATCTTCTCCATCTCGTATCTCTTCGCCATATCTTGCGACATTTTGTTCAACTCTGTCATTTTGCTAAACTCCGCGAGTTGAGCCATTTGAACTATATGCTCAGGTACTTTACCCCTCTCCATCATCTGTTTCAATTCCGCGGATATCTTGTTCATATTCATCTCCGACATCTGCGCTATCGTCGCGGCGTCGGGCATCTTGGACAGCTCCGCGATCTTGGAAATCTCCCTTGCGAGGTTCTCATCCAGACAACGCTTCTTCTTGGCGCGGTGCCTGGCCATACGCTGGGCTTCTTGCATTCTTCTCAATGCCGCTTGATCCTCAGTCTCCTTAGCTCTGGCGTTCTTCATTCTCTCCGCAGCCGTATACAATCTAATAGCGCGCTCCTCTGCTGTTTCTGACATTAGTTTATGGCTTCTATAATCTCGCATTTCCCTTACCTCCTTAAGGTAAGATTTTTTCTCAGCTCTGAGCACAACACATTCACGCAAGTAACATCATGCTTATTCTTCACACGGACTATCATTCTTACAGTTGTCTCAAGGGAAATCTAGTGGGATAAGTCAATATATATGAGCCTAGCTCGTATCAGCTTCTACCTGCTTCTCTTACTCTTGATGGATGCAAAACACACAGTCGTCAGTGGTCTACTCAGATATGATCAGATTACTCAACAGACAGGAAGAGACTCTTCACCGATAATCCAACTGCAACAGACATAGCATCATAATACATTGACAACATGCTACAAGAGATTACATACTACAAGCAAAATGCCTGTTCTTTTTAGCTGCACTAGAACTTGGTTTCTTCTCTGCTCAACACGTGAGTTGTATATTAGTTTCATCTTAAAGGGACAAAATGCAAACTAATTTGAATAAAAAAAAAAAAACAGACTCGCTATCTTTCAAATAGCATAAAGAAGCGTGTGATCGTACAAAATCGCATAAGATCGAAACGTCAGCGAGACCGATCAATCATTCCTACCGTTATTCTTAGTTACATCCTCGGCTCTCAAGACGAATAACGCGACCGTCTCAGCGTCGGCATCGGCGATGCATGAATTGGTCGGCGGGAAACAGTTGTCCGTGTTCTGCGAGAGAAAAGAAATGCAAAAACCAAGCGTGAGTGAAGGCCGCGGGGCCGTCGGTAAGAATTTTTCAGCAACATGTGCGCAAGAATAACCGACAAATAGTGCGTTTTCAAAACTATCTGTGTGCGTACGCGCGTGTGACCACCGGCGGCGAGTGGCGGTGTGTGAATGGCGTTATGCACACGTACGTATGCGTAGTACACCGCATACACAAACCTCACCATACACACACATACACACACACATACACACGTACACGTACGCACACTTTATTTTACTCACCCCGCTATCGGGAAGCTGTATATACACGCAACTACAGCAGCAGCCGTAAATTCACATACTCTGTGTCGTCGCACGCAAGTCACGTCGGCGCGTCTACCAAACGCGCGTATATACGTGACATGGTTCGCATGTATGTGTGTACATCAGTGCGTGTCTCTTTCAGCCAAAATTCGAAAGAACGTCGGCGCGTCGCGTCCGCAGTGCGCATGCGCCGCGAGCTAAGAAGCCGTCTTCTCTTTCGTCGCACACACACAGCGGCCCCTCCGCTCTTGCTCCTCTCGCCGCCGATCACAACAATGGCGGACGCAATTCGGCCGATCCACTGAAACGCACGATCCACCCAGCCAGCCGCGAAATCGCGCGCTCTCGGGCTCTCGCGTTGCGTCCGCGAGTTCCTCGCGACCGGCTGCGTCCGTCGGCCCGACTCTTGCCGCGATTCGCTCGCTTTTCCCGTGTTATTCCGCGGACTAGCGCACAAAAGCGGCTATCGGCCGACACGTAAGATTTTCGTTCGGAGCCACTTTAAGGGGCCAAGCGAGGTCGTCGCCGATAGGCTGCGTGTGACGTGGTTGCGTTTATTGACCATAACCCCTTCCTATACTACCGTCTGCAACTTCACGACGGACAGGTGTACGACCTGCCTGCTAGAGGGATCGCAAAACTATTGACCGCGACGCGACTCGGCGCGGCGCCTTCGCACATCTTTCCGTGTTCTCGCGCGGAAGAAGGAGAGAGAGCTGCGTCTTCGCCGACATGTGTATGCGTGCGCGTATGTAAGTCGCGTGTGAGGGGAAAGCGAAGAAAAGGGAAACGCTTCGGCCGATGACGGTGGACATCGATCGGCGATGAATATGGCTGTACTTGCGCTTCTACGCCGATTGTGAAATGAACGAGATATGATGCTCTCTTGTTAAATTTTTCGTGGAAATTTTGCAGTGATTTGATTTTTCTCGCAAGACGACTCAAATGACAAGATCACGCTGGTTTGGAACAAACGACGTAATGTGATGGTAAGAGCAGGTTGTGAGATTGATTTTCGTTTCCCATCTTTGTCAATGTAATATTAGATCAAGATTGATTTTTTATTGACGCGATAAATGAGATATTTGTTTCCATTTGATTTAAAAAAACATTTGTTGAGATTGTAAGAATAGAAGATAAATTTATGTGAAAATACTTATTAAGATCAATACTTCGAGAAAATCAGTATCGTTTTGAAATTTAATAAAAAATGAAAACACAACATTGTAGTAAGTGTAATTATAATTTTTATATGTATAAAATACTTTGTTTCAGGTTATACATATATATAAAGTTTAGAAGAAAACAATCTCTGCTACATCATACATATTACGATATCTCTAAAGGAATTAGCTTAAAACTATACAAAGTATATATATCAACTTATTCAATATGTACATTTCATCTTACGAATACTATTTTCTCTTGTCACTAGTCGTTCTTCCTGTATATCTCTTTTTCAAACTTTGGTCATGGCTCGGGTGGGAATTGTTTGTAAATAATTAAAATTTTAATACTTTAATAACTTAAAAAATATTGTAAATTTTATCTTGTGTATATATAAACAAGACTAATCTTTGGCGAGTCTTTGTGATATATTATTTTTAGTTGTGCCTTCTTGTCTAATCATTTCTACCTTCTTTGAACACAATATAAATAAAATTTCTATAATCTGTACATATCAAAATAGATCTTAGGATAAAAGATAATAGAATCAAAATAGTATCTTAGAATTATAACAGGCCTTATTAATATTCCGAACATAGTAAATGTTCTAAGTGTCTTAGTAATAGTCTAAGTCTTAGTAATAGTCTATAAATAGTAAATAATACTATAAATAGTAAAAGAAACTTAAGATTAAATTTTATTAGTGATTATTAATTCATCTAGTCCCATTCTTCCTTGATGTTTCCATATCCTGAATCTAGTGACATCTTTTCGCGTAATAATACCAACTACCTGTGCGAGTAAAGAATACATTTTCAATGAAGTAAGCAAAAATTAATTGGATCAAGCTGCAGTATTTCATTATATTACCTCATTTGTGTCATTTACCACTGGCAAGTGACGTAATCCTAACGCCCTGAACAGTCTAAATGCTCTTGGCAGTGTTGCGGACTAGGATAAAGAAATGAGAAATTTTACAAATTTCTACATAGCAGAAGATATGACATAAAAATTACTAACGTGCTGTAATGTATATGGAGCAGGATTCATAAAGTGCCTCAAATCTATTGTGTAGGTTTTCTCCTCCTCAGTGACAACAACTTGCTCGATTGTTGGATATCTAGGATATTCTTTCCTGAAGATTTTTATGTCTAACGACTTGTCCCAAAACTCCGCATATTCGTTGAATATCTTGTTTTGCAATAATACTATCAGCTGAGAACGCAGTATCAGACCACGGAATCGGCCATATGTATTTATCTCACTCTAAAATGTTAATCTATGAAGTAAACGCAAAACAAGCATATAAAATTATATATTAGAAATCATCTTGCGAGTGTTAATTACTTGGTCGCTACTCGGTGGATCAACTACCGGGAACCCGTTGAACGTGACACATTTTAGAAGCTCAACAATGTGTCCCACATTTTCGACGGTCCTCAGGGTTACTACCGGGTGGCTCATAATCTCACTCGCGTAAATGTTACTCGATAACGGGGGTGGTTCCCACGGAATCAATGGAATTCCAGCCATCTGCGTGTGAATGTCGTATATTCCCTGAAGAGTTATTAAAAATATACATGTAGACATATATATGTATAACTTGAATACGTTAATGTGTACATACATACACTAAGTGTTGAAACGTATCAATGAGCATACCTCATTAAAGAAATCGCCGACCCACTTTGCCATTATAAGAACTATAATCACAGGCAGACCGAAGGATATGCCTTGCGTTGCTTCTATCAGAATTGCGGTTAAACTGATTGTCATTCTAACTACTCCTCCCAATTGCGCGGCGGCACCCAGTAGAGCGTATTTGCCAGGGTCCAGTACTACCTGCAACAATGCAAATGAGAAATGTAATTGTAAGCATATTATTTCAGACGATTGCAAATTTTATTTACGTTTCCTTACACAATTTGGCCATAGCTTCGAGAGGCCTGATCCTATCAATCTACCCCATGCAGATCCAATCAACAGGGAAGGAATAAACAGCCCGCTTGACATAGATAAACCAAAGGTGGAAGCAGCAAGGAAAAAGTACAATACAACGAAGATGGCTAGTGTCATGTCGTTGTGAGATCCTGTACAATGTATGTAATACATTTGTTATTTTATAGCAAATTCCTCCTCTCTTCCTCTTTCTCTTTACTCTTTCTTTATAACAAATTTCTTTTACATGCATATATATATGTGTAATTGTAAACTATTTATGCAAATGTATCACATAATATACACACATCATACCTTTGGGATCATGAAATAAAGATCGTACGCTGCTCTCAGGGGTTTGAAACCACAAACTCGCGACTGCATTGTATTCTCCACTCTTGCAATACATCTGGACCGGGTACTTGGTAGGATCCTTGCCCAACGGCTTGCAATCGTCGATGAAATATATCATCAGGAAGCCCAATGTCGCGCTCAGCATCGCCACGAAGAGAGCTTCTATTACTTTTAGCCATCTTCGCGTTACGAATCGCAAACGGAAGCAAGTGATCTTGTAATTGATGTGATTCCATAGCGCACCGAGCGCACCACCCAATGTGCCCATTATCATAAACAGTGGAATTTCATAGATCTCATAAGGAATCGACTCGAACTTTCCCAGATTCAACAAGCCTGGATATGAGAGATCGCCGGGGTGTCCGTGATACGCACTCAAGACTATGTTTAGGATGAATGTCGTCATCATACTAGCGAAAAATGTCCTCCACGTGAGGCTCTGATTAAAGAAACTAGTGCCTTCCTCAATACTGAATAAGACTCCACCTGAAATGTTCGAAGGTTACAGATTATCTAACTTTACAGGACACTGTCTCTTTGCTTTTTTCAACGATACGTACCAATCGGCGCGCCGAAAGCCGCCGAAACTCCGGAAGCAGCGCCTCCCGATACAAAGTCTCGTTTCTCATGATCCTCCCTGAAATATTTGAATATCCTCAGGTCTTTCTTAAAAGTAGTACTCTTGCCCTGCGAAATTCCCGCGGCGACAACGGCGCCAGAGTGTATCATAGGACCTTCCTATGTAAAGAAAATGAAATACATAATCCAAGAGGAAGAAGTATTGGAAAATGACAACTCACCTTGCCTCCGGCTAGACCTCCAACTACTGTGCATATGACACCAATAGTTTTTACAGCCAGAGTCTTAATACGCACAACTCGTGGTATCTTGACACCGTTTAGATAACATTTCACTTGTGGAATACCACTTCCTGCAGCAACAGGTTCAACATAGGCTACCAAGATAGCACCTATTAACACTGGAATCATATTTAGACTTAACCATATAATATATGGCAACCAAAGGCAATTCTCTGCTATACAATGGTCCACATCTGCTATCTGTATAAGGTTAAATAATACATATACTTGATATGTTACAAAGTGTGTCATATGTATGTGCAGAAGGATACATTTCTTAAGAAAGCCGTACTTCAGATTGGATAATTCTTCTATCGATATATCTACAAAACATGCTATAAGAGCAGTACAAATTCCTATTAAAAGGAAAATTAACCATCTGGCAAAGTTCTTTTTGACAACAAACTTGAAGCCTTTTTTCCTCTCTTCATCTTGCAAAAGATAATTTTCACAGGTATCATAATCCAAGCTCTGAAAATAAAGATACAATTAATCTGTAGACAATGTAGACAAATTTTAATTGTATAAATTTTAAGATTATATATATACATATATATGTGTGTGTGTGTGTGTGTGTAAATTCCGAAAGGTATGATATTAAGAGTATCCAATTATAAATGTTTCCAAAGAAATCAAAAGTTTATATATAACAACAATATAGTATGACTAATTGTGATATTGCTATTACCTCATAATTGGTTGACAGGAAATTTGTCGCTCCTGGGGTTATGTCTCCGATATTCAGTCTCCTTGGATTTTGACCCGAGATATCCTCTATATTGTTGCATTCGCTGATACTGTTATTGACGGTACTCTGCACATAGTGGAACCTTGCATAAATATAGCTTTGCATATGACATTTACTATCAACTTAAAACGCTAATCTACAATAAAACGAAGAAGAAATATGATAACGAAAACACGCTATATTTCTTCTAAAGAGGTAAGTCTTCTGCTCAGCACTTACACGAAATCGCACGTTTACATCTTCGTTAGAATATGACGCGAAATTATTCCTCGGCTTGATTAGTCTCTCTCGGTCCTCCTCGACGCACACGTTAATGCTGTCCTCATCTCTATTGATCCCGATAACGCTCGTCGACGGATCTGTCATTTTCACGTGTGGCCAGGATCCGGGGATCCGTTTACCGCATTTTATGTTTGACTAACGTGTCGTAACGAAACGATATAATGATAGGGAGGACGTTTTCACACTAATTTGCATCGTAGCACACTGTCGCAGCGCGATCGCATAGCCGAGCAACGCACTTGATATAAGTACTACTATGACGACACACATAAAGCTGACGCACGCGAGGAAAATGACAGAAGATCTCGTACAATCGAATCGCGACGGCGGCGGTAGCAAGCACGTGACTGAGCCGGTGATTCATCATTGGGCAATCACGGAAGAAAGTGCCACGACAGCGATCGATAAAGCGTGCCGCGTCGTCGATAAGTGACGCGCGATTGATTCTATTATGAGCGATCATGTTGTTGTCCGATCTCGAGAGGATCGAAATCGAAACAATCGAAAGGGCAGCATCGTGATTTCTCGATCACGACAAAATCGCCAAAGGGATCCAGGTCGCGTTCTTGCCGTGGAGTTTTAACGTTTTTTGCGATTACCTCGACAAGAGAACAAGTTGTACTTTCATGACGTGAACGCCTTTATTCGCACAATGAAGTTTCTTTAGACATCTCCGGAGGAAGCGCGCGTCGGAAGCGCGCGAATGCATGCTGAAAATTCTTGCAAGAACCGAAGTCCTTTACAAGTCTGCTAATAAAAAATAATAAAAAATAATAAAAAGTATCCCGAAGAAACAAAAGTCTTAATTGTGACATTATAATAATGAATGACCAATCAATCCTACGCAGTTTCTAATTCTCTTCTTTCTTCGTCAAGACACCACGACGCGCGTTTCTTAATTATTAACGAAATACATGGAAGAGAAAGAGAGAGAGAGAGAGAAGTAGAAGTTGGGAGAGACAAGGAAAGCAGCGGGATCGATGACTGAATGTAGAAACGAGGTAGAAAATTCAAGAGATCGAGGCATTCTTTCCTTCTTCTTCCAGCAAATACAAGAATTCCGCATGCGCGCTCCTCGCCATCCACTTTCAGAAGTTCTGGCTTTCGACATTTCTGACTTCTAGGAACAAGGTGAACAATGTGTGGAGGGCCTCCAGTCTCGCGCCGTCCCGCGCCGGGACGTCAAGGAGGTTGCAGATGATGTCAACCAACTGCGGCAAGTCGCAGTCGAGGTTTGACAGATCCATCTGCATCTCGTTGAACTTGTCCTCCACCTGAGCCGGCCATTGCTGCATCAGACTGTCAATGTCCGGCATCGCTCGGTTCATCTGCACTGCCGGCGGATGTTTGCTCCGGTGCAGCTGATTCATGTCATCAATCCACTTGTCGATAGACTTGCCGTTCCTCTCGGCGTCCTCGATTCTCTTGATAACCGTCTGCCTGGCGGCACCGGCGCTCCTCGAGTGGCTGCGCAGCTGCAGGTGCAATACCGCCGGATCGGACTGGTCGGTACAGGGCTCGTCCAGCACCGTCAATCCGATCTTATCCTCCACGCCATCTGGCCTAGCCACCTTTATGAAGGCGTCTATGTCGCCGACCGCCGGTATGTAGTCAGGAATGAACGGTATCAGCTTGTAGTTGCGCTCGATTTTCTGCGGCGTGTACCTGCAAGCACGATCGGTGCAAGAAAATCGGCTGTCATCACTCCTTGTCACTGGAAGGATCCTTTTCGGACTGCGTAAACTGCTGAAAGATGCTCAAAGGACATCGTCGTCATACCCCTCATCTCAAGAATTATTCTTCAATCGGGAAATAAAAAGAAGACTAATCTTGTCTCAATATATGGACTATATGGATATGGCAACTAGGTGGCGAGAAAGATATGTCTAAAAGAGGCAAGACGCCTTTGAGTTTCTTTTAAAATGTTGTGCTAGATTTATTACGCAACTTGCCTTGTTATGTTCTGAAACAGTTCCTTCACCTCTGTCGATGTTTCCAGGTTCTCGAAATCCTTGGGATTATACAAATCGACCGGTTTGGTGATGCTTGTATGTCCTTGTATGTCATCATCGTCGCTCTCTTCGCTGTCCGAGGGATCGCTACCGATGCCCGAAAATCTGTGTATATCATTTCAACGTGATAAGGTTCTTCTTGAGCTAAACGTAAGAGCGATTGTCTCAAATCCATTTCACATGCTTATAAATGCAAATTTGCGCAACGTAAGGAAAAATTCGTAGAAAAGAACCGACGTCACGCATTGTGGCAAATCGAACTTGACACGTGACTCTTGTGGTTTACCTTCGAAAATCGTGTTTCCCACGCGGCGAGCTCGACTCCAACGTATTCGAGCTGTCACTCGTTAGCATGGTTTTCCCGCTCTTTCTGGAAGTGGAAGGCCTGCGGTTCACAGGACTCTTGATCTCCTCGGCATTGCGCACCACGATGGTTTCATCGAACTTGCCAAACGGCGCCGGGACATCGCGCCGCGTCTCTTCCTCGTCCTCGCTGCTGTCTTTAGCGTCCATCGCCAAAGGACGTCCATCAGCGTATCCTTTGAGGATAGCTTTCAGGGTCTGTATGGTGACGGTGCTGTGCGGCCAACTGCGCGAATTGCACAATAGATCTATGCAGATTGTTGACTCGATAATGTGAAAAATGAAAAAGATACGTCGGAACTCTACGTCTAACATCGAACGACAAGGTGGGGATGTGTTTCATTAACGTTGCCATGGTTCTGTTCGATCGTCGGCTAGTCAGCTGTTCGTCGAACGAACGGCATTACGAAGGTCAATTGTATTAATTTTAATTTTGATGTTCTAACTCGAACATTATTTTCCGCAAGAGAGAGAAATCTCGTTGTACAATTGACAAATATGTTCTATTTCAATCATATTAAAATTAAAGAAGAAAAGAAATTAAAAGTAAATTCAAGAAATTAAAAAAATTTACTTTTAATTAAATTCAAAAAAATTAAAATTAAATTAAGAAAGTTTATTGATCTTCGGACTTTTCAATAAATAAGAAACAACAAGTTTGCCCATGAAGAGATTAATAGAAATCGCTCATCGCGAAAGTGCAGAATGTCCGAATTTTGTCGTAGCTCTCACGTATCGTTAGAATGTTTCTCGCGACTTTCGCAACCATCTCTCGTTCAGTCTCGGGTAATCCCCCGCTCGGTTTGCAAGCGATAGTTCTTGTCTCGTCGACACAGGACGCGTAAAAATCCCCGGTCTCCTGACATGAGCTAACAAGATTCAAACCGGATGAATCAGATCCGTCGCATTTCAATGTGCGAATTCAACCTATTGCGATATTTGTTACGACAACAGAATCACCGCTTATTATCCTGTAATTTCACGCGATATACCGCAATCGATATTTATAAACTTTTAGCATTTACGTTTCTTTTTTCCTCGCTTTTTTACGTGGAGACAAAAAGTTTCACGCCGATCTAATAAAGCGCGAGAAAAAGATTCGCATTATGATACAGCGGTAATATCGATCGTTTTATCCAACGTTGATCCGCGGCAAATATAATCAAACTAGAAACACTGTCCACGACGATAAATCCGGCTATTGTTTTATGATAGGCAACACACAGAGAGCAATAAACCGTTCACTCCTTATCTCTCGATAACGTACGAAAGGTTTAATCATCGGATGAGAAAAAGCGCGGACTCAATCGGTGAAAAATTGCGAACGTAATAAAGTACGTTTATTATAACGCTCGAAAGTCGATTACAAACACGTGTGATCCCGCCGATACACGAAGAGAACACCTCGTGTGTTCGGTATCGCGCGGTCTACACACACGAGGAAAGATATCAGGTCAAAATAAAAAGCACTTCAGAAGAAGCGCGGTCGTGGAAGATCGCGCCGATAAAAAGACAATACAAACGACAACAAAGAAAATCATTATGTATATACACATGTGTAGTTGAAAATCTGGATCGATCGTGACATTCTTTCCCGACGATGAGCAGGAGGAGGAGGAGAAGGGGGAGAAGAAGGACCTCTCGTCTCTTTGACACCTCCTCTACACAACAGGATACTTTCCGTAGACGTGGCCGCTCCTGGTCTGCCTCACCAGCCACTCTCGAGACATCGGTTGAGCGATGGGACGACTCATTTGCGTCTTGACGAACGTATGAGGATGCTGAGAGTGATTGGAGCGCGCGTGATCCGAAGATCTCAATTCTGCAAGAAACGAAGGAACATCGCGGAAAAAAGATCTTCACTACGACTCTCCTTTCTCAACATCGTCAGGTCGTTATAGGACGTTTAGGACATAGCGAACGCGTTGATTTTCGAGATGATTATGCGAAGCTGAAGAACCTACGCGCTGCAGACATGCGGCTCTTCAGCACGATCGACCGCGAAATCTTTCGTGACTTCCCAGCGATGATGTCCCGCGAGTCAACGGGATTGTCGCAGGGATTATGGTGACACCTCAGCAACTGCGAGTTTGTGGGTCTCGAGGACCAAAAGGATGCCGCCTCGTCCTCGAAAGCCATCGGGATTCTGCGCTCACGAAAACAGACTTTATAATTACATCTGCCTGCGAGGTAATTTTCTCATTGAGCTTCGAGAAATGCATGAGAGGAAACGCAGGCAAAAACTCACGTCTCGATTCGTGGGGTGATTTCGTAAGTGGACGCCTCGTCCTTGAGGGAATTTGCCGAGAGAATCATGAAGATGAAGAGGAGGCCGCAAACGACGAGCATGACGACGAGGTCAGCGACGGAGCCGTCATGCTGCGCCGCGACGCCTCGTATCTTCGGGTTCACTTTGTCGAGGTTCTCCTCTGCTGGCGCGAACCACGCGAATTCGTAGAAAATGAAGTCCTGCAATCGAGAGATTTGCAGTGAAATTATTGAGTAATGCTATTGTTGATCAGTATTGAGCGTGCGTGCGCGTTCCACGAAAGAGAAAGGGAGAAAGGAATGAAGCGAGAGGGGAAAAAGTTTGCGCGATAATTTGCCGGCCGGAGGAATCCGACTCTGCTGGTCAAGGCAATAAAACGTGCGACGATACGTCGACGTAGGTAATAAGCGCGATAAGCGGTATCGCACTCTGTTGTTTTATTCTTTCGCGATTTCCCGTGGCAATCTCGCTCGTTCTTTCCTGGGGCGGAAAGACGATGAAGCGACGTGTGCGCGAGACGTACTCGCAAGAATATCAAAATTTGCCGGGTGATCAGATGCACGAGATAATACGCGTCTCTCAGGTTGTCCATCGACCATCGCCATCCATCGGTCATCCTCGTGCCTTCGTTGATTAGGACGTCGTTTTCCGGAATATATGCGCAATTTTCCGGCGTGTCATATCTGTCGCCGAGGAACTCGTCTCTTGACCCGCTTGACCGATGATCCGCCGATTCGGAAAAATTGACAGGAGACGTTGTGGGGTGAACGGATAGTCTTTTTTTTTTCTCACCAAAATTATATCTATAGATACGTTGCTTTTATATCGCACAAAACTCTGCGCTGGGAACTTTTTCCATTTCTTTCCCCGTCAACGCTAATTTGCATACTTGTACCAATTTAAAAAAAAGGGTAAGATGTGTCAACTTAATTCGTTTAAGCTTTAGAGGACCGGGCTCCTATAGGAGCCACATGTAAATCGGCATTCAGTGTTTTCTTAAAGGTTATATTATAGTTATTAATACATTTATGTCGATGTTTATGTGCTGTAAAAATATATTCGCATATGTGTTCGTGTGATTTTTATCTTACTTGTAAATAAACATTTATTAACAAGTACACATTTTAACTGTAATAGTAGTTTGTAATAGTAGTTTAATAGTAATTTGCATCTCAGTACGTTTTTATTTACAATAGATCCACTTTCTCTTAAAATTATATAAAATCAGCACACAACACTATTAGAGTTTCGATTGCACACAATGCGTGATAACAATCACTCTAAAAGTAACAAATAAGTATAAAAAATACAGAAAAATAGTTTTTGAAATAAAATAATTTTCATTATTTTTTAAAAGCAAAATTTAAAAAATTATAAAATTATAAAAAAATTAAAAAATTTTTAAATAATAAAAATATAAAAAAACAAAGAAGCTATATAACTTTCTACGTCCACGTCGTTAGCTCTGGGTTATGCTAAAGGGAAGTTTTATTACCGTATGAAATTACTTATAGTAATATAGGCTTATTTTAGATAAATAATTGCCTTTCTTTGTAAAATTTCGATAATCTGATATCAAAATGATGATCAGCGATATAAAAAAAAACCCTAAAAATGTCAAGATCCAAATTTTGAAAATTTTTTATTTTGGCCGTTCCATTCCGGACCGGGGTGGTTCCTATAGGAGTACCACTAACAAACTCGAAAACTCTATGCCACATGATGGTTATACATATATATATATATATATATATAAATTTTCCGCGAAAAAAATTGCAAATTTTAAAAGAAAAATGCCGGTCCTCTAAAGATTAAGAAGAACAGATCTCTCGACGCCTGTTATTCTGCGTATTAAATTACCAAAATGACAAATCATCAATCGAGTAGCAAGCAACCATGATCCAGACATGATGCAAACGATCAGAAGGACTTTAATGATCTTTTACCTAACACATATTCAGGCTTCTGTTGAGGACTGTTATTAACGACAGAAATTTACCGTGTGATTTGCGAAATCACTATAAGTTCGTCGCATCACGTCACTGACGTGATGACGCGCCTCTCAGCGAGACGCAATTGCGCTTGTCTCCGATTTATCCTGCTCGCATGTCCTGCGGGTGGATACCATTATGACGCGAAGACAGTCCTTGGATACGATAATTAGATAGCATATAAAAATCACATCCACATGTGCCATGCGATCAATATCGCACACGCATGGCGATGATGTTATCAGCTGTATACGTTTGTTAATAAACACATTAACGATGTATTTTCAGTCCAAGTTGCAATATGCAAAAAAGAGAATGTGATGGTGAATATTGACTTTACTGATCGTGCGTATCGTAGTGCTTCGCAAATTGCTACATTAAATATTTTAATATGCGACCTTACACACGCATCGTGCGGCTCGCTCTCGATAGCGTAGCAAAGGAAGGCCGCAGTCACAAGGGGACCGAGTACGAAGTTTCACGCAACGATCGCGCAGGATCAATTTGCGCGTCGGCCAGCGAGATAATTCGTGTCTAATGAGAAACGCACCTCGCGAATGAACTCATCGCACGCGATGTTTCGCAAATTTTTCGCGAGCGTTTATCGCTGTCGCCTCGTTCGTGCGGGAAAATACCGACGTCGATGATTTCTCAACGTCGACGCGATTTACGTGCGTACGTACATAAGACGATTCAAACCGATGCGAATATTTTTCTTTTTTCTTTCTCATTTCAAACCGCGTCGGGAAAACAGCGTCTGAAATCGCCGATGATTAGTGCAATTTATTTCTACCTGTCGGAACACTGTCGGAAGACAGACTATTTTTAGAAAAATACGTTGTGCAAGGACAAAAATATTTATTTCTCCTGGCACTCGATCGCCGTCGCCCTTATCTTCCTCATTGTCGGGATGAGATTTGTTTATAAAAGTAATCCCGCAGTCTCGCCGTCACGAGACGAGACGATCTTTATGGCTTTACAATCCCTGACCTGGTCTCTTTTCGGCAGACGAGACGAGACGCTTGCGCTGCTGCACGCGCACGAGACGTCATCGTTCGCTCGCGTTTATCTCGCGTTGCAGCGCGTTTAATTGACCATGTGACAATTTTATTGCGTAATCAATATTTACGATAACGGTCACGCATACTGGCCTCGGTCCGCCAATACGCGCGATAATTGCGGGGATGATTAGCCACATTGATACTCCGATACAAGAATAGCCGCAACTTTGAAAATGCATTTCATTTCCAGAATACTTGCCGTTTCAACTTCGATCTGCTGATATTGAGTAACCTTCGCTTTATCGTCTTCGCGTCTCTCGCGTTGTCTTATCGTCGCGAACGAGTAGACGGACAAGTTCATGGAGAAGCAATAAAGGAGGCACAATACAATCCACGGGATGCCTGCGAAAAGTTAGTTACCTTACCCGTGACTGATTCCCCCACTGCGAGGAGACACGAAATGAAGCCTCTCCTTCGTCGGAGAAACCTCTTCCAATGCTTTGCAGTTGAAAGAGAAAAGCGACGACATCGACTTGGGGAATGAGGAGACCAAGAGGAAACAGAGGCCAAGGCATGTGACAGGCGCGAAGAGGCGCGTGGCGGCGCAAGCTGCGAAGTGCATGCAGGTATGCGATCGGTATCTAATCGACGTAAAGATCAGAATTCTATCCGACTTGGCGGGATTTCTTGACCAATCCGCGGCCGACGTCGACGAGTGGGACAGATCATTCTCAGACTGCGGATGCAAGGAGCTCGACATCTTTATCTCCCGCCGACTCGAAGGCTCGCAGACGCGCTAGCGATCTGCAAAGCGAGATCAGCGGTATAACGCTTCCGGTTGGACCGCTTGAATCTTCGTTAGTGACAACGCCGGGGCTCCACAGTGGATTGCTAGAGCACCTCGATAAGGATTTTTTCAAGTTCGCGATTGTGAGGAATATCGAAAAGAAGAGCGACGAGAGCGTCGGATTAAGCAAGAGGATTAAGATCGCGAATGACCGTCGCGGTGACGCTCGCCCGGAATGCAACAACCACGTTATCATCGCGAAAAACAGGATATCGAGCCTTAGAAGATTCAACAACCGGAATGCGTCTTGGAGGCCAGACGGACTCAAGAACGACAGAGATAGTGACGATCTTTTTTCTTCTTTCCTTCTCTCGGGCAGAGTACCACGAAATCGCTAGTTGTTGTGATATCTTATCGCGAAGATAGGATGAAGATTGCTTCTCTCCGAGAGGAGGATTAGTTGGAGATCCTGGTTTGAGACTTACGACTGAAGAGTTCGGAGGACAGTTTCATACGGCGATTAGTGCCGCCATATCGTCGTGGTAGTGGAATAATTTTTTTTCGACATCGCTGCATCTCTTGTTTTTTTTTTCTTCTTCTTTCTTTCTTTCTTCTTCTTTCTCGTGCAACGCGATCCCGCTAGGATGACACAAATAGAGGATAAAGTATATGTAAGATTTTCTTAGATTGTAATATGTAATGTTCTCTCTCTCTCTCTCTCTCTCTCTCCCTCCCTCTCTCTCTCTCCCTCTCTCTCTCTCTCTCTCTTTCTCTCCCCCTCTCTCTCTCTTTCCCCCTCTTTCTATATATATTTGTTATTTTTGTTTGTTATAATTATTATTTTCGGTCGAATACACTCGCGAGTATCACAAATCGCTTTTCAGCAAAATAAAGGATATATCAACGAGGCTTTCCAGCTAGACGAAGCTTTACGTTACGATGCCAAGGATACCATTCCACCGGATCGGCAGGAGCAACCCAAAAAGCCAGTGCGTATCGCGACAACGTGTCGACAATCGAAAGGAAATCACATCACAATTATGAATAACGAATTCCCGATCGTCAGACAACGGTGGAAACGGCCGAATGGGGTGGCAGATTGGAATTCCTGATGGCCTGCATAGCCACTTCCGTCGGGCTCGGGAACGTCTGGCGATTTCCGTTCACCGCCTACGAGAACGGAGGTGGTGCTTTCCTGATACCCTACATCATAGTCTTAATTTTGATCGGGAAGCCGTTCTACCTCGTAGAGGCACTCCTCGGCCAGTTCACCAGCAAATCGTGCGTGAAAACGTGGTCGATGGCGCCGGCCATGAAGGGTAAGACGGTTCGTTCAGAAAGGCGAGTCTTCCGGTGCACTTTGTGACGTTCGCCATTTCATACTTGTTGTTCTCTAAATTTCTTCGAGTGAGATTTCATTGGAAAAGTAACAGACAGAAGCGACAGACGTGTCTTTCAAATTCGAGCGACTATCTCGTAGAAATTAACATTTTCAAAATCGTAAAATAAATTCAAATTCAACATTTATTCCTATAACAGTTTCGCAATTGCTTCTCGAACGAGTGTTGAGCGAGACTTCGTTCCGAGAAGCTCAAAGAGTCTATCGTGGAAATTCCTTCGTGAAGAGCTTCTCGCTGAATCCGCTTTTCAGGTTTGGGATACGCTCAGGCTTTCGCCGCGTTCTGCGTCGTTTCGTACTACTGCGCTCTGATGGCACTGACTCTGTACTATTTGGTAGAGAGCTTCCAGGCGGAGTTGCCATGGTCGATTTGCCGTCCTGAGTGGCGAGGTCACTGCATCGACGTGACATCGAACGGCAGCGTTTCCAACAGCCGTAACGTCAGCAGTTCGGCGGAACTATACTTCCGGAAGGTGGTGTTGCAGGAGTACGATTCCATCGAGAACGGTATCGGCGTGCCGTCCTGGCAGCTGTCGATATGCCTGTTCCTCAGCTGGGCCTGCATCTTCGGGGTCCTGTTCCGCGGCGTCAAGAGCACCGGCAAAGCCGCCTACTTCCTTGCGATATTCCCGTACGTCGTGATGACGGCCTTGCTTGTCAGAGCCGTCACCCTTGAAGGCGCTGTTAATGGCATTCTCTTCTTCGTCACGCCCAAGTGGGACGTCCTGTGGGAACCCAAGGTCTGGTACGCCGCGATCACTCAATGCTTCTTCTCGTTGTCCGTCTGCTTCGGGCCGATCATCAGCTACTCGTCTTACAATAACTTCGGCCACAAGGTGAACAGGTAAGAGAGAGAATTTTCGGTGCGTTTTCATGCGAGATTTCACTACGAGACATTCAGAAAGTATGTCTCCTCGGGACGTGTACGGTGTCGTTTTTCAGGGACGTCATGATAGTCACGACGTTGGATACGTTCACCAGCCTGATGGCCGGCTGCACGATCTTCGGGATCCTTGGCAATCTCGCCCATGAGATGAACACGACGGATATCTCGACGGTGGTGCGTGGCGGCACCGGTCTGGCCTTCATCTCGTATCCCGACGCGCTTTCGCGCTTCACCTTCGTGCCCCAGCTGTTCTCTGTGCTGTTCTTCATCATGATGTTCGTTCTCGGCACGGGCAGCGCCGTCGCGCTCTCCGCCGCGGTCTTCAGCGTTTTCCGCGACCATCTGCCGAACATGAAGCAGTGGCTGCTGGTGCTCTGCGTCAGCTGCTTTGGCTTCCTCGTCAGCCTGATTTACATCACTCCGGTAATACTGAATGAATCTCCTTGTGTATATTTCAGTTTTGCACACTTGAAAGTTCTTTTAAGTTTCGTGTCAAACGCGGTTGCTGCAGGGTGGTCAATGGATGGTGGCGTTGATCGATTATTACGGCGGTACATTCGTCGCGATAATCGTCGGTGTTCTCGAGATGGTGACCATCTTCTGGGTCTACGGTCTGTCGAATTTCCTCAATGATATGGAGTTTATGCTGGGCAACAGGCTGGGAATCTACTGGCGGCTGTGTTGGCTCTTGGTCACGCCTCTGCTCATGATCGTCATTTTGATCTACACGATCGCCACGTACGAGGCGCCCACGTACGACGGCTTGCGATTTCCCGATTACGCTTACGGTTGGTGATATTCCTTTTCTTTCTTTGAAATATCGTACGACTCGAAATAATAAGTCTCTCAATAAGGCTCTCGTAGCTGCAAGGAGGAAAGTGACGATAGATCGTAAAGAAAATTTTCTTTCGCTACCAGATTAATGTTTCGCTCTTATTTGCTCTTATTTACAAATTTTTGCCATTTTTTTTTTCGCCGTGTGACTCCATGGTGACGCGACTTGTATGAAATTCTCGGCTTTTTCTTTCAGGAATAGGATGGTTCATGTTTGCCATCGGAATATTCCCAATAGTATGGTGGATCTGTCAGAAGATCATCGTAAACCGATCGTCGTCGCTCATAGAAGTAAGAACCCTCGAAAGCACACGATAATCGACTCGATCGAAGTCGCGAACTAATCGAAATCCATAATTTGAAAATCCAATTGCAGTCTATCAAGGCGGCCTTCCGACCCGCGAAGGGCAAATGGGGCCCGAATGACCCGAAGGTACGCCGAGAATGGGAGGACTTCATCGCGCGGAAGAACTTCGGAAGAACCTCCAAGTTTCGCTTTTCACGAGACGGTCTGATAGAGATGTTTCTTAAATGACGAAGAGCCTAGTTTATTATTTATATTTCCTTGTACCATAAATAAAGAATTAGCTGCATTTTTATTACCTCCCTTAAGTGAATCATGCGCTTCTATTTGGTTCGACGGACGGAAGCAAATTATTTGTTTCGCATACTCCGCGTCGTCACTCCACATTAATGCTTAATCGCGCAAGTGTGCCATTTCGGCGATTTGGCGGGGCACGAGGCGTCATTTCAAAGTGTTCTCGTATGGAGAAATGAAACGACGTAATGTACACGAGGCAAAACATGTACACAAACGTCCAGGTACAATGGCAGCACCGTGACTGGCGTCACGCTCGCGCAGTCTGATTTATGTTTCCGAACTCGCACGGCTTCAATCCGACACCGCGAATACGCCGTATTGTGGAGGCTGTCGTTTTAATTGCGCGCGGATGTAATTACCTGGAGAGTCTACCACGCCGAGGACCTTACGTAAGAGTGGACAATCAGGTTTGAGTCTAAACGTAACGTAAGTTTTGTTTCCTGTTCACAATCGCCGGCTTATTATTATGCGAATCACGAACTAGTCGGATGCAACGTATCATTATCGGAGATTCATGTGACTGCTTTTTGTACCTCCGATAACATTACTCGGGAGCGAGCGATAATTGAAATTTTTATCCGCTGCGAATTTTACTCGCCGCTGTGGATTTTCTCTTGTTTATTTATATCCGCAGCGCGAGGGAAGTCGAGTTCATATTATATAATCGATCGTTCCGTGTAACGGAACGCGCATGGTTCGAGAAACCGCAAATCGTCGGTCGCATTCAAGTCGGAACGGAAAATCAGATGACGTCAAAATAGCGAGAAAGTGACTGTGTGAGCTCACTTTTCGATCACGATTCGATCGCTGTCTCGTGATTTTCCCATCATTTTGACGTTGTCGTGATTTCGTTCGGTCGACGTAACGACACGCAATTTCCTGTTCGAACTGTTTTTCTGTTCAAATTTTTAACTAAGGTCTGTGTTTCGTCGGTCAATCGTTATACAATTAACTGTCGTATTGCAGCAACCTGCGGTTCGGAAAACCACAGATTGTGAAAAGCGCGTTGAATTCAACTGATACTGCCGGATGCAACGATACGCGGATTTTCCGTTTTAACTTTTAATCAAGGTTATCAAGCGATCGATTGATCGCTAAGAAACGAACCTTGATTAAAAGTTAAATGCACGCGAATAAACGCACGATAATGTGAGGCAATAATTTTTCTGTTAGATTTTAAGCTGTTGTACTTTGTCGACGGAAGAGACGTGGGAAGAATGTTCCGCGACAACTCGACATTAATCACTTTAGTTTCGCATCGGGTGGTAAGTGTCGGTATAATGGCGTAACAACGAAAACAATTATGGCCGTTAATTGCCGTTCGCTTTCGTTACTCATCTCGTTACTGAATATCATTCGGATTAGTCATCGGTAAACGTTGACGGGCGGCTCGAGGTGGATCCTCACAAACAGACATACGAGCGAGAATCAAGATTCGTGTATTAGCGAGCGCGCGCAGGCGAGAAATTATTTGAGGAAACTTTCCAATCGCGCGTATCGTCACATCTTCCTCGCATTATACCGTAAGACAACCGCTCGTTACCGGATAAATCTGGATTTGCGATGAATATTTGCGGTTTGAGGTATGTTCCTTTGGAATTTTTCTGTTTCTTCTTGGTCCGACAGAAATGCGGGTGCGTATGTGCACACTTATGAACGCATACAGTGTATTTTACAACGTGTACTCATCACAAAAACATGCGGGAAAATCTATGACTATCGCCATGAAATTTTTACTTTGCTCGTCCCAAAGAATTGCTTTTTCACACACCTCCTCTCTTTTCGAATGTCGATATATTGATACTTTAATTTTCATCGTTAGAGCAAAATTTATTGATACTTTAATCTTCATCGTTGGAGCAAAATTTATTGACAGTTTAATTTTCCACGAGTTGGATTCGTAAGAATTCGGAAATTTTATTTTCTTCAACCAAGACAGGTGGTGATGATGGTTTGCGGTCACGTCAAGTTAACCAATATTTTTTCCCCCGTGCAGAAATTCCTGAATTTCATAGAGAGCACTTCTCTCTGCCAATATATTGCAACACAGAAAATCTTCAAAGGAAATCCACATGATGGAAAAGATCACGAGGAAGGGGGAAAAACAACGCGAAGTTTGCGCAGGATTACCGTGGCTACACGTGTGCACGCTCTAATCGGATGGAAAGGATTGCGCATACAGATCTGTATGGATACCTGTGCGATTCGCGCGATTTCTTTAAGCAGTCTGTCAAAGTCCGCCGACTGGCTAAGACGCGCGCGGATTTCCGAAATAAAAAACGAAATCCTACCGATCGGTGTAGTAGGTCGCTTCAGAGCGGCTACGAACGGTGCGATTGCGAGTCAATCATGGGTTACTCGAAGGTTCGTTTGTTCAAAGAAACAGTGAAGGTGCTGACGTTGCACGGACGAGAGAGTAAAAAAAGTGAATTATTCAAAGCAGGTGTCTTTGAAATTATTAATAGCAGAATTTTAACGACAAGGTTTCCTCGGCGAGGAAGAAAGAGAGGGAGAAGAGAAAGAGGGAGAGACCAAATGACGCTGATAAATTTTTCATTTTCGATTCTGCACGGGAAAAAAGATCGATCAAATTAGCGTGAAAATGAACGAACCGAAAACTCGTTTCGATCGAAAGAAATAAATAGAATTTCTAGTTCTTGTGGAATCAGTTCGCTTCATTCGTTGAGAGGAAATAAATGAGTATTTCTGCAATTTTAAGGAAAATAATTCAAGAGCCGCGACGTCTGAAGAACTTTGCCTAGGTGTCGATTTTTTATTTACGACGTTCGCAATATTCGATTGAAAAGCCGATGATGACAGCACGATTACGAGTCTAAGACTTTCAACAAGCAAAAAGACAATCGGTATTTGTTGTCAAATTATGCGATTCTGTGTGACGACGACGCGAGTCTTATTCGTTGAATACATGTATTGCACACACTAGATTATCACATTCGTTCTACAAATGTGCACGCTCACGCGATGATCCCGTTTCATATTCATTTAATTAAATAGTCATAAATCAGGTCACAGATGCTCAGTCAAGAACGTCGATAATTAATAATAACTTACAAGCGCACCCGCTTGTGTCCCTGAAGCGGTGTTTGTTACGCTTACTTAATCAGACGCTTATATAGTCGCTCAGGAATTCCTTCCCCGGGTCGAAATAGAATATTTCTTGGACAATATTGTCTTGCGATTGTCATTCTTTTTGCGGTGAGTTAATTAATTTGTTGCAAAAAAAGACCACGAACATGTCGTAAGTGTTTGCAGTTTTATGATAAGATAAAACAGCGGTGTTCGTACTTGTTGAGCAATACTTCGCGGTTTATTATACGACAATAAAATCGTGTCAAGCTCACGCAACATTCCAATACATTGCACACGATATCAGAACAATTGACAGAAACGCGAGGTTTTCTCATCGTTCTCCGTTAAATTTCTCGTCATCAATTTTTATCAGCGGCCATGCGTGGCAAGCTTTCTTTTTTATTGGATAAAATCATCTTATTAATCTATAAATATTTTTGTCCTTTCAACATTTTCAATTTTTTTTTATTTATATCTATGTTTTTAATAAAAACAGTTTTAATATCAATTCAAGAGTTTTCTTTTTCTCTTTCTTTCTCTTTGAAAAACAGATGGACTGATTTTTCAATTAAAATAATTGAAATCAGAATGTTTATAGAATAATCGAGGATTTTAGTGAGTTGATGAGAACGCAAAAGATTGTATTCTCGGTTGAATATGATATAAATATTTTGCTTATTACGCAACGTGGATCTAATACAATGATATGCCAAATGTTTAGATTTCTTCCGGTATTTGCGAAACCAGTCAGTATAAATATTAATGATATTTCCGATTAAATAGCTGAGCAGATTTAATAAAATCCGAATGATTACACATTCGATGCGCGAGTTCGTATCGGCACACACGCGTGTGCCGCAACACAGAATGTATCAAATATCAGAATACCCGATACGATCCTAGCGCAGTGACATATATCATTTTTACATACAACACGCGGTAATCACTGCGTGCAATTTTTAAAAGACGACCTGATCAAAGAGCGTGAATGATTCATAAGGTCACCGTTCGCGGCTTGCTGCCTGCGTGAATTCAATGAAAATAATATTTTTATTTTGCGTTACGTTTTTGTGTTACGGAAAAAATTGTCGAGATAAGAAATGATTGATTTCGTTTCGCTCTGTCGCAGAATTACGTCGGCGATAAGAACGAGATACCCGGCGTATTCAAGCTGTCCGTTCCGCCGGTCGGCGAGCTAGAGAATAGGGTGAGTTTAACCGGAAGTAACGTCAAATTCGAAAGAACACTTTTAAGCGAGTTTTGCAAGAAGCAACCAATGAAATATAAAAAATCGCTTGAAAAGAAGTCTCAAGATTGCCTAAATTTCGTACAGGCTGCAATCGGTTGAAACTGAGGGAAAATCGAGTCAGATCGACAAAGCTGAGAAATTCCTGCAAATTTCAGTCAACAATGAGAGACTTAACAAAACTAGATTATACGTATGACACAGATGTTCTTCCAATTAATATTACTAACAAAGGTCAGCTTTGTCATCGCCTCGTTAAACTAAATTTCGTTAAACGAATTTGTCTTAAACAAGAGATGAAAATTACAGCAAAAATTTTCTGAGAGAATTATGACGGTTAGTTCGTGACGTGCAACTTTGCAATCGAGTTGGTTTACTCTACTTCGAGTTGCATCGACTATTTTGCTTTTTCGTGATATAAAATATATACTCACCTTACAGGTGTCAGCGGCGATCAAAGAAGAGGAGCAGGAAGAAGGGAAGAAGAGAGCGCAATGGGGAAGCGATCTGGAGTTTCTCATGTCCTGCGTGGCCTTCTCCGTCGGCCTCGGGAACGTCTGGCGGTTTCCATACACTGCTTATCAAAACGGCGGCGGCGCCTTCCTCATTCCCTACATAATAGTGCTCATTATCATCGGCAAGCCCTTCTACTACATGGAGATGATCCTCGGACAGTTCACCAGCCGGTCCTGCGTGCAAATCTGGTCCGTGTCGCCCGCGTTCCAAGGTACTCTCGGTGATTATAGTCGCGAAACCACCGGTCCTGGCTGGAAAGCGTCAGGATGCTCCCTTGGAACATCTTCGCAGGACTCAGATCAGATCGGCACTTGTATGAACGTGGATCTTAATACGGATTGCTAGGTATCGGCTACGGCGTCACGGTGTCAGTCTTCTCCGTCATCACGTATTACTGCGCCCTTATGGCCCTGACACTCTTCTACATGGTGGCCAGCTTCCAGTCGGTGCTGCCGTGGGCCTTTTGCTGGGAGGAATGGGGCAGCGAGTGCTTCGACAGCTCGTCGGCCGGCGCAGCGGCGAGAAACGGCAACGGAAGTTCCGCTGAGTTTTACTTCAGGTACGGGGATTCTCTCCTTGGTGCGGAAATTGGGTGTCGAAAGATCAGGATGCGTTTTCAGGCTGTCTTTTATATTCAATTGTATTTCACGATTTCCTGAAACCGTGAGAAACAGCGAGATGAAATTTTTATAAAGTTCTACATCAAATACGCGAATCTTGTTGTTGTCGCAAGAATTAACAGAGACTGAAGACTCAGGGCAAGTTATCAGGATGTCCTTTGCGTCCACGTTGGTTTCTCCACCGTTCGCCATCGTTGTGTAGGTAATACACTGACGTGTGCATTACGAGCTTATCGAGAGTTCTTCACGGCCGCGCCTGGTTATTTTCGCGACTCACTTAGAGCCTCACGAAATCCGCAGGGATCAGAATTCCCGCTTACTATACATTTACGATGCCCGTTAATTATCCCGATGCGGCACAAAACATGATAACAATGTATAACGAATTTAATCACATCGCGAGAATTATCTCTTCGGTTCGTTACCTTTATTTTCGTGGAACTCCTCTGCTTTCTGCAACTTTTCCCTCTTCACTCATCGATCCTGAAGGGAATCTTAATTTCCATGACGAGATTAACGCTTTCGATGATTGACACCTTCGATCGTTCGCATGTTTAGGAAATTCGTCCTGAACGAGACGGGAATCGAGGACGGACTCGGGTTGCCCTCGTGGCAGTTGGTACTGACGTTGTTGGCCAGTTGGATCTTCGTCTACGTGGTGATCTGCAAAGGCGTGAAGAGCACCGGTAAAGCAGCCTACTTCTTGGCTCTCTTCCCTTACGTCGTGATGATCAGTCTGCTAATACGCGCGGTTACTTTGGAAGGAGCGATCAATGGCATAATCTTTCTCTTCAAGCCCACATGGCACAAAATTCTGGACCCGGCGGTCTGGTACGCCGCAGTTACTCAATCCTTCTTCTCGCTCGGAGTGTGTTTCGGCGCGGTGACGATGTACTCCTCGTACAACAACTTCGAGCACAACGTATCCAGGTGTGTGTACTTCGAGCACGAACGGAGGAAACCTTTATCTTTCACCCGGAAGTAAAGCAACGAAGATTGATACTTCAGTCCAGTAGTTCGGTTCGATCCCTGGCTGAAAGTTTGCCTCTTTGCATCGAGTAGATATCAGCTAGTACAAACGAGACGAACATGTTGCGATTGTCGGGATCGTTGCAGGGATTGCATGATCGTGACGAGCCTGGACTTCTGCACCAGCCTGATAGCGGCCACGACTATCTTCGGGATCCTGGGCAACCTCGCACACGAGACCGGCAACGACGACATCAGTAAGGTCGTGCGTGGCGGAACAGGCTTGGCTTTCGTGTCCTATCCGGAGGCCTTGGCAAAATTCACGGTAGTGCCGCAGCTTTTCGCTGTTCTCTTCTTTCTGATGCTCTTCGTGTTGGGCATCGGCACCACTGTCGCCTTCTGCAATGTCATCATTAGCATCGTCAAGGACCAGTTCCCGAAGCTCAAGCAGTGGAAAATCGCAGCCGGCCTCTCCATCTTCGCTTTCTTGATCGGCGTGGTCTACTGCACACCTGTGAGTTTCACGGAAAAATTCTATGCGAATTGTGTGCGATTAAGTCTCGAGATTCAATGATCAGGAACTTCGTGGGACAATTCGCTGAAAATAATTAATCCACCTGGTAGTTTGATAAGAGATTAAATTCTCCGCGTTGTCCGAGGAAGAAATTAAAGTCATCTCGGGACGGAAACGTCGACGAGTACTTAATTATTTCTCTTTTTATCGGCAGGGTGGACAATATATCCTCAACTTGGTGGATTACTTCGGCGGGACCTTCATCATTGTGTTTTTGGCTTCGTTCGAGATGATCGCAATCTCCTGGGTATACGGTAACAATTTGCGTCCCAATTCACTTTCACCTTCCCCACGTCTCGAGATCGTCGGGAGTGACCTGAGCGATTTTCTAGGTGTCGACAATTTTATGGACGACATCGAGTTCATGGTGGGACGACGACCGTCCTTGTACTGGAAATTTTGCTGGTGTTACTTAACTCCATTGTCGTTGTTTACCATTCTAATTTACTTCCTCATCAGTATGACGCCGCTTACGTACAACGACGAATACTACCCAACGTCCGCATACGGTAGCGATCTAAACCCTTTCACGATCAAGGATAAGGTAGGACTTGACGAAATGAACATTCCCGCATTTTTTCTTTTACAGTTGCGGGCTGGACGCTTCTGACTTTGGGGATTCTTCCGTTTCCCTTGGGTATAATCGTCGTCGGAATTCGGAATAGGAACAAGGCGTGCACAGATGTAATTTCACCTGCATTTTATTCCGAGATAATTTCCGCATGAACATCTTTTCATGGCGAACCTAAATTCGTCATCTTTCTTGCAGACGTTTAAGCCGAGCGCCGACTGGGGGCCAAAGGACCCGGAAAAATACAACGAATGGAAGGACTTCAAGCAGTCGAAGAGGATATCGCGAGCGTGCGCGAATAAGTCGAAAGTTATCGCAATGTTATTTGGTAGAAATTGACAATAAACTATGATTAAGACGATATTAAAATTGTTACGCACGCACATACGTGTTTGTATTATCTGGCGTAGCGTCGATTACAGCGAACGATCGATGAATTACGATTGTACTAACGATGCCCTCATCACGTCGGCTGCTCTTTGTCGCGTGGTGTATTCGCATGGTCTATAATATAAAATTACACTTAGGCAAGTCTCAGAGACTCATGGAAGCTCATAATTTCGCTGCGAGATTGAACAACGAGGAACTTTGCAGAATAATTTGCTTGGAAAAATAAACAAATATACGTATAAATATATTCGTCGGTCTCGTCAGTCGCAGATCTTGCCACGAGAGCCACGGTGACACGAGCGCGACTTGCAAGCCGAAGGAGAAACGCGAAGCGTGGACGACCGGCGGCATCGCCTTCACTTTGGCTTCATGTTCAGGAGGATGTACAGCGTCTGCTTCCAGTACGGTTGGACTCTCCTCTCTCGGGCTCTCGCTCTCTCCTCCTTGAATATCTTCCAGTCCTTACGTTGTTGCACTTCCCGCGGACCGTATCCGGCCGCTGGTCCGAAGGCCTTCTTCACCATCTTGAACAAACGCGGCAATAATTTGCAATGAATTGCAACAGTTTCACTTCAAGACACTTTGCATTCACCTTGATCCAATAATTGTCCATTAGCCTTTCTCTCTTTTTCTCTTCTGCTTTTTTTCCTTTATAGCACAAATAGGTTACCTGAACGAACGATAGTTCCCGATTCCTCAGTATCGCCACCAGCATCCACAACGGTATCTGCAGCACACCTACGCACAGCAGCATCCATCCGGCGGCGTGCGCAGACTCCGGCAACGATCTGTCGCCGTAGGTCAAAGGCAACAAGGTGGCTACGGTGTAGATGAAGATTGTTATCAGCAGCAACGGCGTCACTATGAACCAGCATATCCTCCAGTACACGCTTGGCTTCCTATTTAACATGAATTCCAGGTCGTCCAGAAAGTTCTCGAAACCTAGTACGGCGAGGGGTCAATGAGACATCTTAACACCATCGAGTCATTATCTACGACGAGAAGCGTAGATACTCTTACCGTAGATCCATACAACTCCAGTCATTTCGAAGGACGCCAAGATAAACACCACGAACGAAGTACCGTAATAATCCACCAAAGTCAATATAAACTGGCCGCCCTGCAGTAGAAGTTTGTTCTCTCATTATTAGAACAATAACTGGAAAATTAATCGTCTCTGTCCTTTTTAGAAAAAACAGAGCAGATAATATACTAAATTGACTGTGTGATTTTAAGTCGTCAAAAAACTTGATCAAAGTTCGCTGAAAGTCACTTGTACTAACCGGCGTCACATAGACAGTGCCGATCGAGAAGCCAATAATGCACGATGGGACTACGATCTGCCAGGTTTTCAGCGACGGAAACTGCTCGCTTATCACGGTGATGATTCCCGTGGACATGCCTACGGCGCTACCGACACCGAGGACGAACATCATGACGAAGAACAGCACGGCAAACAACTGCAATGGAAAAACGATCACTGTATATATTTGGAAAAGAGAGACGACAGAGAATCATTTTGAGAAATCGATATCGAACACCTATCAGGAAGTGCATACTTGAGGCATGAAGCTGAACTTCGCTATAGCGTCGGGATAAGACACAAAGGCCAAGCCAGCACCGCCCCTGACCACCGTAGAGATGTCGTCCACGCCTAACTCGTAAGCGAGGTTGCCGAGAATACCGAATATCGTGCAACCAGCCACCATACTCGTGACCGTGTCCAGAGAAGTGATGATTATTACGTCTCTGAGATCACACGCAGTCACCGGATGAATCAGCGTAATATTCTTAATTAACTTCAAGGAAAATAGAAGGCGGGAATGCCCATTTCCTCACCTGTATATGTTGTGCTTGAAGTCATTGTGAGAGGAGTACGTGATGATGCTGCCGAAGCAGACGGACAACGAGAAGAAGCACTGCGTCACGGCGGCGTACCAGACGGTCGGCTCCAACAACTTGGACCATTTCGGGGTGATGAAGTAAAGGATTCCGTTGATCGCGCCGTCCAAGGTGACCGCTCGGACCAGCAGGGAGACTAGCACGATGTACGGGAAAATGGCGAGGAAATAGGAGAACCTGCCGGAACTCTTAACACCTTGGGACAACACCAAACAGACCGTCGCCCAACTACCGAACAGGCACAGCGTCAGCTTCCAGTCCGGCAGTCCAATCCCATCGTCGATGCTCTCCTTCTCATGCAGTACCACTCGCCTGCGAATTGTTTTATCGAGTTCTTATCGAGATCTTCAACTCCCAAAACTACTGAACTTTTTCAAGGATATTGACACATGCACGTTTAAATATTTGTTTAGATACTTGTCGGCGAGATTATGAGAAAAAATAGCATTGTGAATAAACATTCTAAGAGAGGGATCTCGTTATATATAATTGGCAGAAGTCATATTTATGTCATTTGAAAGTTAAACAACTTTTTCCATTTTAATAAATTCGAGGATTCATGAGGAGGTGAAGAAGCAAGGGATGACACTTACAAGAAGTACAGCTCGGCTGAGCTTTGACGCTGAGCGCTGCTATTTAAGAGACTACCAAGTATCTCGTTGTTCGCCGTCGCGTTTAACTGAACCGCACTGTGGTTCTTCTTCATGCTCGAGTCGACGCACGTGTCGCCCCATTCTTCCAAGCAAGTGGCCCACGGCAACTCGGAGGAGAAGGACGCGATTAGGAAATATAGTGTCAACGCCATCAGCGAGCTGTAGTAGGTGGCTAATGCCACCGTCGAACAGAACTGCGCCCATCCTACTCCTGTCGCAACAAGTGTCCATATTCAGATGAGGATGAACGCCGCTGTTACCTCGCACGAGAACTCGTGCGGCCGGGAATGAGCGGAGCTTATCTGTTTACGTGCCTTTTTTGCGCAAATTTGTAATTCAGGCACAAAGCAACTTTCTTTCGGATCCCATTTTTAGCAGAAGCGTTAATAGTAAAGGTCTATCTTGGATATTATTCAAGTACCCAAGTGATAAAAGAATTAATAATAACAATAATTTTCAGTTCAACTGATAAAAGAATTAATAATAATAATAATTTTTATTTCAAGTGATAAAAGAATTAATAATGATAATAATTATTAATTCAAGTCCGCAAATCTCATCTCTTGCAAGGAAAAGAAAAACCTGAAAAGAAAAATTACCCACAAAACCTGGCGACATGCCCCAGACCTTGACGGACGAGCTGCTGGAGAACTGTCCTATTATCATCTCTAGGAAGTAAAATGGCTTCCCTACCAAGATGAGCAGAATCACGTAGGGTATGAGGAAGGCACCACCGCCGTTCTCGTACGCCGTGAACGGGAATCGCCAGATATTGCCGAAGCCGACCGACACGGCGATGCATGACATGAGAAACTCGATGCTGTTGTTCCATGTCACCCGTTCATGCTCTTCCTTGCTGGGCAACTCGACTACGTCGAAGCTCGTCAAGTCGCCGTTGAGATACGTCTTTCTGATATGGAGCTCGTCCGCCTGGAAGGCCGCGTTGTCCAGGCCTCGTTGCTTTTCCTCTTTCTGCAGGGCAAAACAAACACATTGTGGAGATTTAATTTCGTAGCGAGAGACGCGTCACAGACGCAATAAACATGAGACTCGACCGAGATCGTCGCGTTCGGCCGCAAAACCCGCAGCGAAAATACAGGTCATTGCGAACGGGTTCGCGATCAGAGAAGGAATTCTCATTTCTCACCTGGTCGGTTTAAAGACCTCGGCGCGGTTGATATCGAGGACGTTTTGCCACCTTTATAAATCAATCACACGCGATCATAGAAAGAAGATGACAGACGCGATAACGACAGCTATGTTTGAACAGCTGATCGGACGATACAATTTCTAAGTCGAAATTTCTAACAGTCGCGACATTCCGCATTCGTGGAAAGGATTTCGATTAGAGTCACCGAGATATCTCGCGGAGGATTTCGATGCGAATCATGGAGATAACTTTATCACCGCGAACACCTCTGCGTGCGAAAATCCCGCGCTCGGCAAACAACGAAGTCGTTAACTTTTATCCCTTTCTCTCGGAGAATCACTCTGCTTCCCTCGCGATATTGATTGCGACAGCGTCGAATATGTCGCGAGAGACGCGCGATTAGCTTTTACAGCCATTATCTATCCGACGGATGCAGCGATGTGCGTGAATTCAAGCAGATCTCGAGCGCGGTAGGCTTTCTTTTTCGGTTGCGCTCCGAGCCAATATCGTGAGACCATGTCGATCGAAAAGTATTTAGAGTGACTTTCACTTTATCGTCCGACCAGCGGGACCCATAAACGATAGGAAAAAGCCAAGCGAATCCGGCTGCTCTCTCTCCCTCTTTTACGGTGGAAGAAAAAAACAAGAAACGCGCGCGCGAGTAAGAGACGCACTTTGAGACGCGCTCGCGTCTGTCGCTCGCGCAAACGACACATTACGCGATAATTACTCGCTCATGATGGAAAAAAGCGGCCGTACACACACGCACGTACACGTAACATACTTCCGATCGCGCTTGCAGCCTTATCGCCTTCCGATCGACTGATCGTCACGCTCGATCAGCTCTAATATTTTATAACGCGAGTACGCAGCTCGTCGTTTGAATCGATCACTTACCGCCTCGTACATGGTGAACGATGTTCGAGGTAGACACTGGGAAGTGGAAATCGGGGACAGTCCCCGCCGAATGTAGGAGTATTGGCCGAGCGGATCACAGAGACGCGGGATTACAGACGAGCAGGACGACGACAAGTGTATACCGAAATCTACCAAGTACTACGATGCTACCTGCGACGAAGACTAGCTGGCGCGGATGACCGGCGGTTCACTCCCGCACGAATCTCCGGGAAACGCTTTGATAAACCGATAACCATCGCCATACTCCCGCGGTGGCTGGTTAAGTGAGTAACTGACAAAACGCAACCGGTGGAAGCGATCATCAAACGACCGGCTGTCTAATCGCTAGTACGTAGTAGGCAGGTAGGAGAGATGCAGGTGAATCACGCGACCACAGGAAGCGAGAGAGAGAGAGAGAGAGAGAGAGAGAGAGAGAGAGAGAGAGAGAGAGAGAGAGAGAGAGAGAGAGAGAGAGAGGGAGAGAGGGAAAAAGAGCAAGAGGGAGAGAAAGACGGAGAGAAAGAAGGAGAGAGTAAGAGACGAGAGATCGCGAAAGGACGATTATGCGAGCGAAGTTGTGCGAACCAAGTCGCAGGCAACTTGAAAATAAAACAGGTAGAACGTGTTACTGATGAAGACAGACGGATAGGCGGATTCACGGGTGGGCAAGAGGGGATAAATTCGTCAAGAATATAACAACCCGATTCGATCCGCGGGTCGAGAAAGGAAGAAGAAACGGGATTCCCGGCCGCGGGGAACTATGACGTAGCGGGGAAGTTGCGGAAATCGAGACAGGAGGTTTACGGAAGGGATATTCCAGCTTGGTGGAGCTCTGAGAGCCTGATCCGCCACAGCGGACCAGTCACTTCTTTTTGTATTTTCTTGAGTCGCGACCACCGATATGTGCATCAGTAGGATGTCGTCACATGTTGAGCCAGTGTACGTACAATATCTTAGCGCCGAAAGAAAGGATTGTCAAGGTGCAGAGACGAAAGAGCAGCGGGAAACCCTGAGAACCTGAAGAAGGAATGAGAAGGAGACGTGCAGTGCCAACGAGTTCGCCATCTCACAAATAGGAATAAACTCAAGGTCCTTCGGGAGGTAAGGAGGAAACGATGTTCGCCAGCGATAATTGGTGATTTCAGCGTCATCAGTTGTTTACAACAACATCTGCATTTGAATTTCGGCCATGATGAGTCAGCATTTGCCTTCGCACCGCGATCTCGCACGGCGAAGGATCGCTTCGTTGTTTATTTTTTCTTTTCTTCTCTATTTTTCTTGCCCATCCACTCATATTTATACTTACACGATGAGTACTTTCTATTTCTCCTGTGGTCGCCATAATCGAAATCACTGTGAGTTTCTGCGACCAACTGTGGCCAATGTCGATTGGCTGTATATCGATGGAATCGCGTTATTATTATCCGTAATTCGTTCCCTCGGTTGTTCGTCTCGACACGTACCAATACCGATATATAACAATGTTGCACGCAGCTTTATTATGCTCAGCGTGCTGTACATGTATCACGCTATACAATCGTTGGGCGACAAGGTTTTGTACGATACATCGCATGCGGTCGGCAAAAATGAGAAGCGGGAAAGCAAACGGTTACGTACCAAGGACAACTAGATTGCATTGCTACGTACATGCGGGAAACGTGTAATATTACCGGTATGTCAGTGCCGACTATTTTGAATGAGTGCGTCATAATAACGCACAGTCAACGCTTTTTAAAATTATAGTATCAAATTATAAGAATTGTGTGCGGAATATGAAGGAACCTGAATGAAAAAGATGAGCATGAGACACTCGAGTCGCGCACAGGCGATTCCGTCATTGAGACGGTCAGCCTTTAAGGATCACTCGCAATAAACCTCGGAAGGAGCTGCGACCTGTATTCCGGTTGTTGTTTCGTTCTTCTGTGTCGCGGTGATCTCGGAACACCAGCCACTTCTTGCGATTCTCCGCGTCGCTCGGACCCCATGATTTCAGCGGCAGTAAGGCTTGCTTGATCATCTAGGAAATTTAAATAAAAGTGATGAGAATGAAGATACATGAGTAACATTGAATTATGAGTAATTGTGATTTGCAATGCAAAAACTTGGCACGCTCTTACTTCTCGGAAAGGAAGGTGCCTTTTTCTCAATATCGCCACCACCAGCCACAAAGGTATCTGCAGAACAGCAACGGAGAACAAGATCCAACCTATGACTGTAGCGGAAAAGACACATTAAACAGCTTTAATAGGCTTTTCCCTTTTTATTTAAGTATTAATAGATGACTCACTGTAAGCCGATACAGGATAGAAGGATTTATTGTACTTCAACGGTTCCAGATCGGTGATTGTGTATATGAAGATGATAAGAATAATGGCCGGAGTGACGATGCTCCAGCAGAGTCGCCAGAAGATCGATAGCCGTCTTTGCAACATAAACTCAACGTCGTTCAGGAAGTTGGCCAGACCTGAAATCGATCTCAAGATTCAACACGCATTTTTTGGATCAATTAGGGCACCGAGAGAAAAAAAGCATTTGGTGTAATGGTTTGCAACTGCGAATGCGATGACAAATTACGAAGTAATCATAGTCAGAAATTTGAGAAAATGACTATATAATTCGTAGATTTATTAACCTAGATTTGAACTTCTTCCTTTTATAATGCTTTTAAAATTATAATTAATTGATTAGAAATGTACCGTACGACCATGCGACGGCGATCATTTCGAAAGCAGCCGGCAGAAAGGCGATAAACGATGTCACGTAATAATCGACGAAAGTCACCATGAACTGTCCGCCCTGTGAAAAAAAAACATCTTGTGATCATGTTCGTCGAGACAACGAGATAAGACTTCACAATGTCCCGTGGAAAATTGATCGACGCTCGTAAATCAGTTAAGTCATAGTCAATTACCGGCGTAACGTATATGAGACCAATAAGGAACTCGCAGAGGCAGGTAGCGACGGCCGCATGCCAGTACTTCACACTCGGGAACTGATCGCGCACGATAGCGATGATGGCTGATGTGAGGCCGACCTCGCTGCCAATTCCCAGGACGAATATCATCACGAAAAACACGACGCTGAAAAACTGTGGCGCGACGGCGAACTTGGCGATCGTCTCCGGGTACGAGATAAACGCCAACCCGGTGCCACCTCGCACGACCGCCCTGATGTTATCGTTGCCCAACTCGTGGCTGAGGTTACCTAAGATCGCGAAGATCGTGCAGCCCGCCAGCAGGCTGGTGAAGGTGTCCAGAGTCGTCACGATCATTGCGTCCCTAACCGACAGATCGCGACCGTGAGGGGAAAAAATCTGGCATTTCTTCGACGATGATTGCTCTCTAAATTTCTTCCAGCGAAATCTCACTCTCGAACATTCACTCCTGCGATTCCGAGTAACGGTGTTTTTACGTCGTCTCGCTCCGAGTGAATTCCCTCTTGTTTTCAGAGAGGTTTTACTCCGAGAAATTTGGCGAGTAGCAAAAGCCCAGATAGCAGAATGGCTACTTAAAAACGTTTTAAAAGCGCCAAAAAGATGTCTGAAGTAGATGTGAAAGGGATATCTCTTACACGAGATATTCTCAAGATGCCTCTAAGATATCTTTGCAAGCTTTTTGCTACCCGAATACCGCACAGCGAAGTCGTATTGAGTCTTGATGAGAAGAGGTCATGACGTGAGTCGTAGGCGAGTCGTGTCATGAACTCTCCCCCGGGAGTAGCTACTAACCGATAGATATCGTGGTTGAATTTATTGTGGGAGGCGAACATGACGACCGCACCGAAGCAGACGGTCAACGAGAAGAAACATTGAGCCACCGCGTTGTACCAGATGCTTGACGTCAACAGTTGCTCCCAGTTCGGAGTGATGAAGTATAGGATACCTGCGGCAGACCCCTCCAACGTGACGGCCCTCACGAGTAACACGATCAGGACTACGTAGGGGAATATCGCCAAGAAGTAGGCTGCCTTGCCGGAGCTCTGCACGCCGCGTATCACCACGATGAAGACCGTGAGCCAGCTGACGAAAAGCCCGATCGTCAAACGCCAGTCCGGCGCACCGATACCGTCGTCGATGTTGTTCTTCTCCCGCAGAACTTCTTTGCTACATGGATTACATGGACGAACGAATGTACATCGGCGACTAAGTAAGCTACAAGGGTGCAGTCTCTTTTCGAAGACCATTAAGACGCCTTGAGATGTCTTAAAGACGTCTTAGAGACATATCCGAGATGCTTCATGGACATGCTTGTTGTGTGGGCTTTGATCCGCGTAAACATACAATCGAGAAGCAAGCAAAAGACAGTACTGATATTTGAAAGGGATATTTAAGATATTGCATTGTTAACATTTGTATTGTTTGAAATCTGCCTTGTGTGAAGAAACTTAGATTTTAATTTAGAGATAAGATTTATCAATATATGTATCGTCTGATATTATATTTGAAAATTCATTTAGTTTAATTTAAACACATTTAACAACTTATTTCATTCTAAATCGTACGATATGTTTGTACGAAATTATTATATCTGAAAACTCGCGTTAAATTCAATGAATTATTGAATTATATCTGTTATTATATCTGAAAACTTATTAAATTCAACTTAAACTCCTTTAATTTAAAGATAAAATTACATTTGTCAATGTATATATCGTCTGATATTATATTTGAAAAATTATTTAATTTAATTTAAATTTATTTAACAACTTATTTCATTCTAAATTGTGCGATATGTTTGAAATCATTATATCTGAGAACTTGTTAAATTCAACTTAAATTATCATGTCTGTTATCATATCTGAAAACTCATTAAATCCGACTTAAACTCCTTTAAAAAGCTTATTTAGTTCTAAATGCAAGTCTTAATATATTGCGTACACTCGAAATAAGTAAAAACTGTTAATGGAAAAGATATTAATAAGCTATTAAAAAATAAATAAAAACTATTAATAAGTAAGAATGTAACAAACATTTAAGCGAGATTTTACATATTTCAAATGGCCGACAGCGACGGAGACGTCTCTAAGACATATTTGAAGACATTCGTGCTGTTTGAAAAGATAATTACTAGAAGTACAATTCGGCCGAGCTGGAATAACTGACGTTCTCGATCATGGACGCGCTCTTGTTCCTCGGCAATGAGTCCACGCAGAATTCACCCCATTCTTGCCGACACCTGCCCCACGGCAGTTCCTCTTGGAAGCTGGCAACCAAGTAGAACAACGTCAAGGCCATCAGCGAGCAATAATAGGACGCGAGACCCAACAGCATGATAAATTGTGCAACACCAACGCCTGCGATCAATTGGATAGCTTATCACTAAGCTGTCGTAAATTCATATCTATCTATTTATTACGACGCCTCGCACGATCGATAGAGCTATCCTGTTTTTTTCGATCTTTACGGTTTATTGAAAATTTTCCAGAAGAAAATTTTCAGTATATGTGAAGTCCAAATCGCTGCGAAACATGGACTCTTCATCTCTTCAAATTCAGACGAATCATGTCGCATTATTAATTGCAAATGAAATAGATATGAAAATATTGCAAATAAAAAATAAATATGGGAAAAAAGAAATCGATGGAACTTTGGAGAGCTTGCACAAGTTCATCGGATCGTCGATAATTTCATCCACTCGAGGAATCAGTCATTTTATAAACGCAGAATCATCCAATTGTATTTGAAATGAGATTGAAAATGATTGATAATGGATGCTTTGATTCAATATGACTCGTTTTATTGCCAATTTTAATAAATTGCTAAATTTACTGAATTGGATGGAAGAAATATGTAAATCTATTAACAAAAGAGATATGTACGATTGAAAATATTGTCCGATTGTTGCAAGCTCTAAGCAAATATCGTGAGAAATGCGCGTTGAGACGAATGCACACCTCTGAACGCCGGCGCGAGGTCCCAAATTTTCACGGCTGAACGACTGGAGAACTGGCCGAGGATCATCTCCAGCAGATAAAACGGCTTTCCTACGATGAACAGGATAATGACATACGGTATCAGAAAAGCGCCTCCGCCGTTCTCGAAAGCCGTAAACGGGAACCTCCAGACATTTCCGAGACCGACCGACATAGCGATGCAGGATAACAGAAATTCCCGGTCGTTTCCCCATTGCTGTCGCTCCGGCTTTGTAGCGGAAAAATACAGGTATCGTTTGACAATTTTGAATTTTTTATTGCAGAAGATATCTTTATTCGAAAAAAAAAACTTGTCGGAAGCATCGCATTTATAATCTTGGTCGTCTTCTGACAGTTTTTTAAGATAATTTTACGCCGACTTTTTTTCTGACGATAAAATTATTCTCAAAAAAATAGATTTGTATGTACTTATTTAAAAATGTATTTATGTAAAAAATATGTACCGCTTTGGAAGTTTCATGAGCGGAGGATATGGGCCCGTCGATATTATGCCAGTCAGCAGTCTCGTCTACAACGAAGGCATGATTTATCATACCGCTCGAGACTGTGTATGATACCTGAAATGGTCGAGCGATGACAGCGAGTCTGGTTATATCACTCTCCAGCATTGTTGAACAAACAACACATTACTTGTAAGCGACACATATTAATCAGCAAAAACGTTAAATTGAGAGATTCAGACGTTACGTAAATCGAAAGATCGTTCCCCCGTCCTCAACATATTTGTGTTATTTCAATATTGAACAATTCTATCCAGACGCGATTCTGAGAATTTGTCCGTGATTAACAATCACGAGCGGCGTTAACAAAAACATCGCAGCGGAAATGGACATTTAGTTATTACCGTCGTTTATCTTCAGATCATAGTCCAACAAAGTAAAACACTCGTGCAGGATAAAGTATCCAACTCTACTAATTTTCGGCGCTCTTACGCAGATTTAAGGCACGTAGCAATTAAAAAATAAATAGATGACTGACAATGCATTAAATACATTGAAAATTAATTAAATTTAAATAAAAAATAAATAGATAATTAATAAATTCCTCCTCGTAAACGTTAATATTCGATAAAATCTGCCGAAGGAGTGCCGAAGACTGAGAGAATGCTTGTTACAAAAAATTTCATCCTTATTTTCATTTTTCTGTTCGCTGGTTTTTTGCAACAAATACGCAAAATGTTTACATACCTTTTTGCCCATTGCGCTCGGTTCGATGGTTTTTTGTTCAGTCATTCGCATCACGCGTCTTACCTAATCAGCGGCAATTTAAAAAATTTCAAATTATAAAATACACTCTAGGAGGAGAACGAGTCCTCGCCCCTTCCTGTCGCCGATACGTCGCGCTGATATGAAATCGAAGGATCATTAATGAATGAAGATTTATTCCAAAAATTCGGTCTTATACGATTAGTTCAATTAATTCGACGGAATTCACGCGCGCACGCACGCGATTGTGGCCCGCGAATATTTGTCAAAACACGCCGCTGTAAGTCAGCAAGTTTGCGCAAATTGAAGGCAGAAGCCGAATCTCGCCGAGTACTCTTCGGCGAAAAGCCGTCTGACGAGCACACGACTGACGGGGAAAGTCTAAGCGCACAAGTCGAAACGAACGTCGCTCTAACTTATTTCGATTAACTAGAAGAGAAGGGCCGATCGCGAAGGCGGAATTAACGCGCTAACGTGGAAAGATTCGCGTTAGAGTCGACAGTCCGCCGCGAAAATGTCGACACTTTTCGATGTTGCGTCCTGCAGAGGGACGAGGGGAGTTGAATTATGAAGGCTAATTAATTACAGGGGGTGAAACACACGACATTAGGGGCGCATGCTTCAACGTAAATTAGCGGCTTGAGAAATCGTTGGATTCGTCCTCCGCTTCGACGACACCCATGACGATAATCTCGCAGAAATTTATTTGTCACACGCGCCAAAAATGCCAAAGATCGTATTCTGCCTGCAGCTGTGAAAATAACGCAAGCGCCGATTGCACGTAGCGCGGCGTTATCAATTTTACGTTTCGCCTGCGCAAGGACGCGCAGGCGTTTTATCGTTCGCCGAAAGACCTTAACGATTAACGACGTTCTAATTCAATTAATACACGAAAGATACGGAAATAATCTGCATACACATCGGCAAGCGACGCAGTGTGCCAACTATCAGTGACGAGCAATTTGCCAAATTAGCGACCGACGTTTCTTCGACTTTTACATTTACGTATACGTACTGTAAGGACTGTTTGTGCACCGACAACAGGTCTGTCGAGAATAACGGGGAGAGAGAGACTGACACTCTGTATTGAAAAGTGTATTACGAGGAACGGTGGGATTACGCGAAATAGCCGCGTGCATTGTCAATAAGATAACGCGCGCGTATTGAGGCGCGTATCTCGAACAATAATTTGAAACGTGTGGTTGACGAAAATAACGATAGGATTATTAGAATCTGCCATGCATAAAGAGGACGGAAAAAAACGGCCGGACGCCATAATAAGTGAATACCGCGGATAATGTGATATTAATACTTTCGATATATTTATAAGCCGGCTTGAAAATGGTGATGTAACACTCACGGGAGAAATGTCGGAATGTTCGTTTGATATTATCAGCGAGGAATAACTCTTCATCTCCTCGAATCTGCGTCCCGTAAAGTTCTTACGACTGCCGTTTGAAGCCGTGCATACTTTGCACCGTGAAAGAAATGGCGCTCTAAAGCGAATGGTGGCGCCGACTTGTTTTCCTCTACGAGGAAAATTAAATTCGTTGTCGGTGGGTAAGATTATATTTCGTTTTACCAACTGGCCTTGTAGGTAATGAAGGTAACAACGTGTCCGATGACGTTGTCAATTAGTGTACATGCGCTAATTTCAAATGTTGCTGTACCGTTCGTTTCTATTGACTTGCAAACTAGTGATCCAAATTGTTAAAGTTATCGAAGAGGTGATCGAGTTGATTGGTAATCTTTATGCTTTCACGGAACAATGACCAGGTAAATTGATTGAGGAATGTTGTATTGTATTATAAGCCTGTCTGCCTTGTCAATCTGCCTGTTCAATCGTAAACAACGTAATTTTCTCACTTGAAGTGCAACGACAGGACTCGTACCTATCACAGAGATAACAGACCGAGATGACGAGCAGGGGATTGTAAACCTAATACAATCCTTGATGCAACATATCCAGGAAAGAGATCTGCTGCGAGACGATTTGCGCCAGAAACGTATGATAAATTCTTTTGTCTCCTTGATCGCGTTTTATTGAAGACTGTTTTAAGATTGACACAAGATAATCCTTCTAGAGGATAATTTTAGAAACATATTGGTAAAATTAGAACGTGAAAATATGTCTCTCAAGAAGGAGAATACTTCGTTGAGAACTTGCAATGATCAGCAGAAAAAGACGGTAAGAACATATGTATCAGTGGTATGCACATACGCTTTATTAATACATATATGGTTGTGCTGAAACTACTTAGATTTCTTCATTGGAGGAGCTTGTCTATAAGTTAGATAATCAGATAGATAGCTTGCTGCATAAGTTAAATAATGCAAATGATGCTTTGAGGAGTATGCAACAGGAGGTAAATTGAGTTTTGCTACATAATTTTGTATATCATCACTTTTGTACATTATAATTAACATGCAGACTTTGCATTTGCTTTTGCAACTTTGGAGGATAAATATGTAATATTGATTTCTGTGATTTCAGGTGAGAAACAGAGACAAACAACTAAAGCAGTATGCAACAGACAAGCAGAAAATAATACAGAAATGCAGTAATAAGATACAAGCTGAGACTGACAGAATGGCCAAAGAATTGGAGACCAAACTTCAAGAGCAGCGTGAACAATTAGAGGTATACTTTATCTTATAGTTAAAATATTTTTAAATAAAAATGTCAATTATATTCTTAGAAGATACATAATGTTATTTATTATAGTTATCCAAATATTGAAATATAACAAAATACTTTTAGAGTCACATTAAAAAGAAGGATCAGAAATTAAAATTAGTGAAACAGATACTGCTAAATAATGACAATACAATGTCTGATGATGCCACAATAACAGCACAGTCGGATTCTAATTCAAATACCGAGAGACCTGAGGAACCCGTCTCGACGACATTCGTGAAGAAGCCATTTGTGGTGGCAACCATTGATCCACAAGCTCTATCAACATCTACGATCGTGTTAACTGATGCCATAGCAAAATCAGACTCGGAAGCAACGAAAAACGCGAGTGATCCGGTCGAACTATGCAGACTGAGCAGAAGAGTAATTCTTCAGTAACTCTACATACTTGTCTTCCATTAAAACCTATGTGCAAACTATACAATATGTATGTAGGATAAAATTCCAGTGGTAAATCTGAGATATCAGCAATCGCGAAATTCAAGCAAATGGATAGACCATCGTCCTGGCCAGATGGTACCCATCGGTACGATCTTTCAGCCGCAAACACCGAGCAAACACAGTATCACAAAGCTGACAAATCCGAAGCCTTTTATGACCAGATCCGCTAGATATTGCTTGTACGCGCAAGAACAAGATACGGACGGTGAGCTCGAGACTAAACTGTACAAAGTGAGTCTTTCCGACTCTATTCTATCTCTCTATTCCGACTCTATTTCTTATTCTTCAAGACGCGATATATATCTGTATTTTGAGAAGAGAAAAAGCCAAAAGATTCAGATTTTCTTCAGGACTTTCAAGTTTATAAATCTCTTAGAATATTGCTCCTTTTTTCTCTCTTAATGTACAGATACAATTGTGCGTCTGAACTTTCAGGCGGATGTATTGCCGACATGCAGTGGAGGAGCACAGGTTGTGTTTAATGATATAGAATGTCTGAAACAGGTCTCTCCGGCTAGACAGAAACAGCATAGTAAGCCAGTAAACGCAGAAAGTAGTTCGGCAAATTTATAAGTATTTCACATTCATACACACCATTAAGAGTTCCCCGTTCACACTCTCCATAAATTCCGCGAGAGAGAATGAAATGTTTGTGATACGCTCTGCATTTATACTATTCGTCGTCGTTTATTTGTCGTTCGTTCGAAAGAGAGAGAATATTGAAGGAAGTGTTGAATGTTAGAATAGGGGAGAATGTTGCTTCAATTTCTCATTCCTCATATCGATGGCTTGGAATCCACATCGGTTGGTGCCGACTTTGCAGCTCGGAAATACAGAAGGTTGGATATTCCGTGTCAGAAACGTAACGTTTATTTTCCTCATTTGCTCGGAAGCCACAGGACAACATTCGACGCTTCGATCCCAAAATATTCCTACATCGTAATGTGTGTTGGAAGACGGATTCTCTCTCTGTACGACGATCGTTTCTACAGCGAGATTCGTTCGACTAAGCGCAAACTCTACGAGCGCTATCTTATATACGTACGATAATAAAGTTGCAAGAACAACTCCGCATACCGATGAATCTCAGTTTATTTTTAATGCGAACAAAGACTTGTTTTATCGTTGCCACACACGAGGACGCGTGCTAACGGATGGATGCAATTTCTTTTTCTCTCATTAAATAGAGCTGACACATCTTAAAATCGTTTTCGCTCGTTGCGAATTAGTCACCGTATCTACATCTTACATACGATTGACGATTCACGCATAAAAGAATGTACTCTCCAAAACACCAAAGTATCCTGCAACAAATGTCGGTAATGTACATACACACACACATACAGCCTCTCTCCTCCTCCTCCTTTCTTCTATCACACCCGTTAATCCCAGCGCGCGGAAATCAAGCGGTAAAAATACATACATATATATATACATATATATACGTATATATAAAATTATATACCAAGTATCAAGACTAGATGAATATATTAATCATTAGAATAATTAGTTATTATATTATGTTCGGCTCTAACAAATTATAAAAGTGTATTATTAGATTATTTAAAGATATTGTCTTACGCAACGCTCTGCATTCTCATTTTTCCTCCATACGACACAAATCGTCCGACATTCGTGTCGCTAGAAGAACCCTCTCTCTCTCTCTCGCCAACTCGTCTCATGCTAATCGTAGTTCTCGTCACGCTGATAACGTGAAATTAAGCTAGAGACACGATACGTCCTCACGCAGTAAATCCTCGGTAAACAATATCTATGTATATATCATTGTGCAAGAGGAGATTTGCAGAGTGCCTGTGTTGTATCTCTTTTCTTTTTCTTTTTTCGGAGGAAGAACGGTATATATCTCTCTTTTTTCTGTTAACATTCTTTTCTGAGAGAAAGAAGAACACCGCGGTTGTGTCTATAGCGAGAAATCGGATGAGTAACCGTTCGTGCGCGGACGTGTAATTAATATCAAAGAGATATGTATCCTGCCCAGTACCATTCACAGAAACTCCGAGCATCGTTTCTCTACAGAATTAGCTGAACTTTCTTCCTATCGCGCAGTGTAACCAAATTGTCGTCCGCAAAGCACATCACATCGATTCATAGTAATACGTTATATATAACCGAATCAGTCCAGACGTCTACAGAGTGTAACATTTATTCGTGGCTTTTGTATTACATACACGTCGCGTGTTTGTCTGTGCTTGTGTGTGAATATGTGTATGTTGTGTGTATTATGTAACACGTACACTGCCCTCAGCGCGCGAAAAGTCGCTTTCGTGTGACTGTATTGATCAAGTGGAGACATTCGTAGAGTCTTCAGTATTACGTTTCGCAACATACGATTAAAACATCATAAGATTAAAAAATTCTACGCTCAACAAACGCCATTTGTTTTCGCGGCCATCGAAATCCCATGTTCGATCGAAATTTATTGCAACGGTAACATCGAGTTAAGTATCTGTTTTTTTTTTTTTTTTTTTTTTTTCTGAAACCTACAGTACGCATTTGACTCTTGCTCGTCGATCTGCCGAATAACGATCGCTGTTTTTAGTCTCGACTTATTTTCACGAGATATTACGGCTACTGATATATCGGTAAAGAGAGAAAAAAGAAGCATTGTGCGCGGTTTAGAATTCCGTCTAATTCGCTGATAGTATCGCCAGTTCTGCTCGTAATTCGCGTGTGATACAATGGGATTGTGACTTTCGCTGGGTTCATAAGTCGCCGAGTATCGTTGCATTCGAAAATGTGTGCATGTGTAAGCGGGGTAAAAAAGAAAAAAAACCAAGACGGGAGGACAGAGAAAAGAGGAGGTGTACAAATCGCCTTACACAGTCGCGACATCGTGTATATGTATATGTTACATGCACAATTGTACATTCAATCTCGAGGAGCGTGTAAAAGAGGGACTTTACGGTTCACACCTGAGAAAGAGAGAGAGAGATTGATCATATGTGACGTGCGATCATTACCCTGCACGACGTACATACGACGATCGAGACTGTACGAGGCGACGTTGGAATTAGTCAATTAATAATATCGAGAATATGAAAATCTCTTGTGTCGCTCGTGCAGAAAATATAATGAACCATCTTCGACCAAAAAGATACCGGCGAAAGACGCGCGCGTATTGTCAAGAGGAGGCGTGTGAAAGAAGCGACTTCGGTGTACAACTTCTAGAGCCGATCGCGTGTTGATGAAAGTGTTATTTAGGAAGAATACCCGTGCCAGCGTCAGACAGTGTCGAAGTTTAATCGCCGAATCCTCGGAGACAGCGAAACGATTGTGCATCCCCGTAGACTCTGCAAGTGCAAGTTGCGCTCTTTCCTTCTTTTTTTCCTTTTTCCTTTGTTTCCAACTCGATTTCACTCCGACAATACACACAAGCGGTAATATCGTCGTAAAATTCGCTCAATTTCCGCACACCATGTCCGGATCGAAGCCCGTTTACTCTATGGCTTTACTCATGAACTCTATGAATCGTTTGCCGTATTGTTCTGGATCACAGGTGGATATACCGTCGACATTAGCACCGTACTTCACTGTCTTGGCCGCTTTCGCTGCCTGCTTACGCACACCGTAATGTGTCAGCACGTCTATTATGGCCAAGAAGTAGATCTCCTTTGTGGGAGCTCCTATAGAACACACGACATGGGTGAGCATTCTTTATGTCTTCTTCTGATCAAAATATATATTTTTGCGCTGTTGGAAAGTATATTTCAGGAACTTTTCTGGACCCACAGCGAATGCTAAATGTTTTTGTGATTCCGAGTCCCGTTTCCTCTCTCTTTGTAACTCTAGCACTTGATTTTCTCTTTTTATTTATTTCTTTTAATATGAACGTCACGTGTAACATTGTTGTTTTGAGCACGGGATTGAGTAAGAACATTCAGCGTTTGCTGTGTGACCAGAGTATAGCTCCGGAGACATCCTTACGAGAATACCTTCTTTACTAGGAATAGCGTATATGTCTAGTTCGGGTATGATCGCGTCTTCGTATTGTAAACTGGTGTCACGCATCAACGCAGCGTGCGGCGATTCGGGAGGCGTTGCCATGCTGGTGACTGCACCGACACCGCCCCAACCCCACAGACGACTAGGCAAACGAGACATTGATGAGTGAGAATCACGACGTGATCGTGGAGCCTTCGTCCCAGAGAGACGAGAAAAAGGAGCAGTGTCCACTTACTCTCCCGCTGGGCCTCGGGACTCCAGTCCGCTGCCGGACTCACTATCATCCTCCTCTTCGTGATTATCCTCGTCCTCCTCTCTTTCCGCACGTTCTCTACTCTCTTGCTCAGCGCGTGCGCAATCGTGTAGACCAAGAAGCAAGGAGTAGTCCATCAGATGTAATCTCGTCAGAAACTGCAAGAGCGGACGAACGATTTCGTGTGTCTTACGAATTGTGTCAAACTTAGTCAGTGGAAAGAGGAAACGCGATTGACTCCTGGAAGCTGGCCGAAGATCGTATGAACTTACTTACTTCTACGTCGGCGGTTAGGGTTTCTATTAGCTTAGCTTTGGCCTCTTCTCCAATATAGATTTTCATGCCCTCTTTGACGAAATCGTTATCTTTATAAGTAGGAAGATCTTTCTCCTTCTCCTTGTCGGATGCTTCTCGATCCACCGTCGAACCTTTCAAGTCAAATTTCTTGTGTGTAGTTAAGTGATTTGAAAATACGTTCCTTATGGCGACCACGTAATGCTCAACACCGTCGACGGTTAATCGATACATGCCTAGATACTGCGGTAACAGTGTCTTTCCGTGTCGCTCGACAATGTACTGGAAGAGGTAATCATTATCGCAATTTATCAAAATCGACGGTCAGTCTTCCGCGTCCTCGTTGCAATACTCACAGGGTGATAATGCTTCAAGAACGAATGCATTCTCTCCACTTCCTCGCTCGTGAGAGTCTTGATAATGAACAGTTTGTCGTAGGACTGATAGAACTTCGCGCCGCTCTTTCCAGATGAATCGTCGAGCACCGGCTGCGATCTGGAAGAAGAAGCAAGAAATGCGGAAACTACGTCGGCGTACATGCGGCGAAAAAAAAAAATAGAGAGTGAGAGTCAAACGATGCTTCAATTCGAGAATGAAATTCGCCGGGCCGCAGGACTACATGGCAGAGCATGGTGTTGGTAAACACAAATGAGACGTATCGCCCTGTCGGGACTTGTGGAGTCATTAAGTAACAAGGTGGGTGGTTCCGATATTAGCCGAAAAGATACATCTGAAGAAGCGCGTATGTATGAAGTAATTCGATCGATATCGTAAGAGTTACACAAACGATTGATTGCACTCTAACGCAAAGTACATTAGTTGACGATTATACGAGTCATTAGAGCCAGCGTGTGTTGTATTATTATTATTATTGATTTCGTCTCCTGATTATTTTAATTATTAATCATCGAGATGACTGATCATGATCATTATTACTGATCGTCGTTGATCGACAAAGCGATTGGTTAGTTATCTCCAGCTATTTCTCTCCTAAGCTGAACACCTTCGTGATGACAATTGAAAACAATCTCGCGCCATGCTTTAATCGGAGGGGGGGGGGGAAAGCTCTCAGAGGCGGCAGCTCGCATTTGCGTCTAGTTGCGTCGAGCTGCCGTTTTACGAGTGCAACTATGAACAATCGTTAAGTATTATGTTGCTTTAGTCACGCCGATCCTCGTTCCCTCGGCTTTGTAGGCTCGCTCGCGACTTCAACCATGTTAGAGGAGAGAGAGAGAGAGAGAGAGAGAGAGAGAGAGAGAGAGAGAGAGAAAAAGAAGAGAAAGAGAGAGAAAAAACATGACACAGCACAGCACGGCAAAATCAAGTTTTGTTGTCTCTAACCTCAGGCGTTTTGGCTTAAAACCGTAGGTACGCAGCGGTTTGTTTAGAATCGGAATTTGCGAGGAGACAGAAGGAGAGGAAAGGGCGATCGACGGGGTGGTAGCGGAGCGCTGAACCAACTGACGAGTCCTTCCGCAGACGGACACCAAATCCGAGCGTTGCTTCGCTCGCGACGGATTAAACGCCCGACATCTATCACATCAAAATCCTTACGTTACAAATGGGACACACACGCACACTCTCCGCTCTCGTCCCTAACCGCTAATGAGCGCGCTCGCGACGGACGGATTCCGATCGATCGAGCGGAACCGCGATAAAAATTTCATCTGAATCTCTACGAAAAGCACGTGTAGACCGTGCATTAATACATGTATTAAGATAGCCGTAAAGTAGAATGAAAGGCGAGTATGAACGCAGTCGCATTACCTCGTCATCGACTCCTTGTAATCCAGATCGTCTATGCCGAACCTCTCTCGCAAATTCCTAAAGACTAACGGACAATATTCTTTGATCTTAAAGTGGGATGGCATGTTCTCTCTGCAAAGGAAAGGTGGCACATATTTGTATGACATATTTCTGCAGTATTAATACAGACTTGCCGTAATGCGAAAGTGGTAGCGGAAGAAGGATGGTACACTCGTGCGAAAAGCAAAACCAACGATATATCGCATCTTTTGCGCTTTATTAGCGCCAACGAATCTAAAATTAAGAGCGCTTGCCAACTTATCAGCTTCCCACTGAGAGCACTATATATAGAGTAGACAATATATCGCTTAAATATATTTCTGAGATTGTCTTGTCACACTCGTGTACACAGTTCGTCGAGTATATTTAGAAAGTCCGGTCTTACGGACGTTATATATCCACAATCGCTTGGCAAAATACAGCCCGAGATATATGCGAGGAAACAAATTAAATACGCATTATTGTGCGCGCGGTGTGTCGCGCACGACAATGCGAGGAGGAGAACTTACTTGTTGAAGAGATGATTATCCACTTTTAACTTGCTGTAAGCTCTAAAATCATCCGGCAAGAGCATTACTGGAATGTTAACGTGACTAAGTTCGTTTATCTGCAATGCAGCAAACATAGATAATCATAAATTTGTCTCTCGTTTGCACGGGATTAGGCTTAATTAATTGAGTTCAGAGGTCGAGTCTCAATAAAACGATCTGTCATTGAGCGCGAAGGTAGCAGGGAAACGGCACGAATTGATAAATTCGAAAACGTCATGTATGTACGTCATGTGGGTATTCGCATGTTACATACGTACATACACATGACGTTACCATGCGATGTATAAATCGGAAAATACGGATTCAATAATAATTATGAGTCATTGCGATCGACGTGGAAAATTCGGTCTCTCTGATTCGCGCGTCGTCCGCGCCGCCGGGAGGAGAGTCACGACGCAGCAGTCGGCGTGAGCGCGCACGCCGCCGTCGTGAGAAACAAATAATATCGCGAGGAAATGGAAAAATGGCATGACGATGACGTACGTATCTGTACGCTGTCATCCGTGCAAATTGATGAGCGCGCGCGCGCGCACTCGAGTCAAACGCTCTCGCGGGGAATGACGAGAAAACGTGTGAGAGAGAGGGAGAGAAAGACAGAGAAAAATAGAACAGCTCTCTCGCACTTACCGTATGATTAACACCCCACATAAACACGCTGAGTAACGGCTCGTTCGCGCGGAACAGCTTAACCTTCTGATGCTTCACCCGAAAGTGTTTCTTTTTCAGCTTGCTGAGCCCGCTGCTCGACATTTGCGGCACGCTCGACATCCTCTGGCTGCGGCGAGCGCGCGGGGCAACTCGCTACACCGCGATCGGAACTGGTGGAACCGCGCAAATCACCGTCGCAGATAACTCGACGACGACGACGACGAGTGCTTCTTCACTCTCTCGGGCTCAGTCTGTCGCCTCTCACCCCAATGACATTCACCCTGGCCGAGCTCGAGTGCGCTAGGGACGATCCTCTCCTCTGCAATATGTGCGAATTTACCTTTACATCGTATATCGTCACGTGCGAGCCAACCGCGCACACCAGGCTCTGTCCGTCACGTCGCCGCGACGAGTCACCGAATCGCCGAGTCTGCCTTCCCTTATCAACCGACGGATCGGATACGGAACACGCCCATGAACCACGGACGGATTCTCGTCGACGCGACGCGACGCGACGCGACGCGCCACACACCACACACACGCATACACTCCTAACCTACACGTACTCGCCGACGATCGGCACTACGTAGCCACTGAATTCGCGATGAACGACCACCGCCGCTCCAACTACTTCTCGTTACCTCGCCGCGCACTTTACTGCCTCTTCCTTTGCTCCCCCACGTCCCTCGCCCGTCAACAGAACGACGTAGTCACTGCGATCGCGTGCCGCGGCGAACGGCTGATCGAGCTCCTTTTAAAAATGGCGGAACTATTCGGGACAGAGGATGTCGCACGAGTCGTCGGGTCGACGTCCTGAAGCACCGTCGGGCGTCAATTTAGTTCGATGTTTCACCATTCATCACATTAAAATTCACAGATTATCGTCGGCGGCGATTCCTTCTGTTTTCGCGCCGTTTCGCTATTCGAGGTTATCTGACGTTGTCGTCTCTCTCTCTCTCTCTCTCCCTCTTTAAATCAATCTTGGTACCAAATGTCTAGGTGAATTTTCAAACGCCATTGTTCGGTGAATACAATTAGAAATAGAGTTTGGCCAAGCACACAGTTCGGTTCGCAGGTTGCGATGGGATTCTTATCTGACGTTGGCCGCCATCGAATCTCACCGTATCGAAGATCGGCAAGATTGACGAGAATCCGAGCGATCGATTGTATGGTTGCTTCGACGTGACGATCAATTTCAGATTGGTTGGCTTTCTCGAAAAGGACGAAAGGATACGTTTTTCCTCTCCGCTCGAGAAACTGCGTTTCTCACGTTCGTGCTTCTTGGATTTCGGACGAAAAAGTTACTAAATGTTTACATGGCGCTCAACAGCTAGAAATTGAAACAAACGAGAGTCCCCAGATTAATAGGTTTCTGGAATGATTGGACGCGATTTCCATGAATATTTTCGTCGGTGACTTTCAGCACGATTGGCATTCTAGGTCTGGTCTTTTTCGAAGAACTTTTGAAGTAGTGCAATAAATTAGAATGAGAGAAAATATATCTGTTTCACTCTAGCTTATTGCATTAATTCAAAAGTTTATTCGAGAAAGAACGGCCTACTGTGACGATCTCTACTTTGACTGTGTTCCGATATTTACTGTCAGTACTGAAAATCTACAGTATACGTGACGCAAACTATATATTTTCAGTACTGGCAGTGAATATCGGAACTCAGCCTTTGGAAGTTTATGTTTGCTCGTGTTTACACTTTCTACACCTCGCTCCTTTACTTTTTCCTTTTTCTAAAATTTGTATATATGTACTCATTTCGTTTTAAATCACGTTTCTCTTTTTGCTTCCTCTTTCTCTCTCTCTGTCTCTCTCCTGCAACATATGCCTGTATCACTTTATTCGCTTTAAATGCGGAGTGTAGATAAGCAGCATAATCGTCATCGTGAGGACGAGCTGTAACACGCGTGGAGAAGGATTCATTACAAAACAAGACCCGCGCGTGCAGCACGTAAAGATGGAAGCGAATGCGACGGCTAATCCGCATCCGAAAAAAATGCACAATAATTACGAGGATGAGGAAGAGCGGAAGCACTTCCAAAGAATCGTTGCCGCATTCAAGTACTACAAGTGAGTATATATCTAACGATAAGAAATAAATCCAACAGTGTCGATCAGTCCTCTTATCTTTTGTTGGTTCATGTGGTTTGTTCTTTTATCCTTAATTACCAATGATGATCGGCTTAATTAAGTGTGTAAATTGTTTGTCAAAGGTATCAGCAATTCTATGAGAGGCGATTTGAGTCTAGCACAATTTTGCCGATTATTTTTTTTAAAGGACTCAGGGCAGGTTGCTCCAACTCCTTGATAAGTTAACTCATATGTCTGTCTTTGTCTAAATTAAAGGAAAAACAAAGATAAACACATATGATTTAACTATCAGTTAACTTACCAAGAAGTTGGAACAATCAGCCCTTAATCTATAAATCATAATTATTGATTGTTTTTCATGCATTTTATTTGTTTATCCTGTTCTTCCTCTTGTTCCTGCACAGACCACATTCATTGTCAAGGGTAAAAAAATCGGAATCCTATCTTCTTACGCTGCCAACTCATCATCAAAAACTTTTGTCAAAGTATAGAGAACATCTCCAAGAAGTCAAGCGCTGCATCGAGAACAATGATCACATTATAAAACTCATAATAAAAGATGTAGCCCATATATTTGAAAATGTTCATCCAGCAACTGCGCAAACTGATAGTGTAAGAAATATTTATAGATATATCTTTATAATACACATGTACACATCTTAGTTTCCTGTTGTATGATTTAATATCCGATTGTAGACATTAAATCCACGTCCTGTGATGGTGGACCAAGAAAAAGTCCAAGCTACCATTAAGCAATTAGTACGAGATTGGAGTGTAGAAGGTACTGAGGAACGAACGGCATGCTATCAACCTATCATAGAGGAAATATTGTGTCAATTTCCATTAGATCAATGGTATTTTGTTATTATGCCAGTACTTTTCATTGATATATTAAGAAAACAAAAAAGTAACAGGGGAAACTTATGCAGAAGTTGAAAAATTTCACTTTTATACATGTCACTGATACTTTTTTTTTTTTGAAAAAAGAAAACTATATATATAATTTCATTAAATATTTAGAAGTGGACAAATCTGTAAAAAAAAGTTGCAGCTACAAGATCTTCAAAGTACTCCAGAAGTTTCCCTTGCGAGTTGCATTAAAACATAGTTGAGAAGAATATCGAATGATAGGTAAATTTCCAGTACGCCATCGAATGTACATATCTTAGTACCTGGTGCAGGCTTGGGCCGTCTTGCCTTTGAAATCGCAAGGCGTGGTTATACATGTCAAGGAAATGAGTTTTCTTTATTCATGCTTTTTGCATCAAATTTCGTACTGAACAAGTAAGTGATAACAAAGGAATAATTTCAAGCTGCTACTTGTAGTTAGTGAATCCATCGTAATTTTTACCTCTCACATAGATGTAGGGATGTAAATTTGTATCAAGTACATCCGTGGGTACATCAGTACATGAATAACTTGAAACCGGACCATCAGACACAGGCTGTTTCCTTCCCCGACGTGAGTCCTAGTGATCTTCCAGGAACTGCGCAATTCTCCATGACCGCCGGTGACTTTTTAGAGGTAATGTAAGATTTCTTTAAACTTTGATAACATATTCCATTCAAAAATATTGAAATCGAAAAATCCCTTTCAGGTTTATACTGAAGACAATCATTGGGACTGTGTAGCGACGTGCTTCTTCATCGACTGTGCCAATAATGTTGTACAATTCATTGAGACAATTTATAAAATTTTGAAACCGGGTGGCGTATGGATAAACCTCGGACCGTTGCTGTATCATTTCAGCGATTTGCCGAACGAAGAGTCGATTGAACCGAGTTATGACGCCATTCGCGAAGTCATTCTAGGTTTTGGCTTCCGATTGGAAGTAAGAGTTTCTGATATGTATAATATTCTCAAGAAAAAAAAAAACAATCCTCTCTTCACTGACCTGTCATATTGTATTTTTCAGAAGGAAGAGACGCAAGTGAAAACGCGCTACGCCCAGAATATCAACAGCATGTTACAATGTGAATATAATAGTGTGTATTTCGTCTGTCGGAAGCTCCACCAACATATAGATACTGTAAATCATAATCATAGAAATTGCTCCGACAGTAACGGTGCACAGGAACAAGAGAACTAAAAGGAAAACGTCGTATATATTTTATTCACGAGGAAAAAAATGTTGAACGCTAAAAAGTTGTTATATATTTAAATACACTCAACTTTCTCTATTATTATTTAGTAAGTAAAATCGTGTAAAGTTTGCGACTGCATAATATGTAAGACATTTTTACATCCTTATCTTTATGATCAATTTGACCTTAAGATTTATTTCATATACCTGCCAGTATATATGTATACTCGAATGAGTTCATATATAGGGTCTATTGTCAAAAAGACAGAAAACTAGTTGTTTTCTTTTTCTGTATCGACTGATATCGTGTATAGCAGATAAATTATTTTCTGAAGTTGTAATTCGTCTAAACTTGTATATTGTAAGTCCAGACAATACCTGATCCGTTTAATATATATTTTTTTTTGTTTCGATTTAATTCGAACGTTCATTTCTTGGTGAACTTCACCAAGTATCTTCACGAGTCAGCAAATGTATGTACACGATGTTAGGCGGCTTTATATATAAAAGTTAGTAATATTAAAGATAAAGAAAAAAATGAAAAATACATCCAATACATTTTCCACCTTGCTATAAGTTTTTATTAAGATATTGTACGAATAGCGCAGCGATCTGATCAATGCCGCTCTGTTGCATTTTACTATAGGTTAAAAACTGTCTGCGTAATCTTAAGAGATGCGCAGGTGTGGAAGAATTACGCACTATCACATTACAACCCGGTATCTTTATATCGTTGTCGATTCCCAATTGTTTCGCTGACAATATCGCCTTTGTGATGAAAAAAAGTGTATGTTATTATAATATACATATGTATACATTTAGCACCTATACTACATATAGACCGTCCGATAGAATATCGTGTACAATGTTACTTTACAGATCTTATATTGTACAGTGAACGAGAGAGAGAGAGAGAGAAAAGAGATTGTTTCAATAACGAAAGGAAGAAAATACAGGAAAATGCAGTGCTTGCATTTTGATATATAAATTCTTGCTATTGAAATTGACTGTTTTAACTATGTGCAAATTAATTATCTATTCTATTGCTATAATTGCCATAATTGCGAATAGATGAAAATTACTTACGTTTATTACATCTTGTGTTATTGCATCCAATTCATACAGATAATTCGTAGATGCTAATGGTGGCTGAAAAATGAATATTCATATGAAACGTTAGACGATAAACTATTCAAAAAGAGGCAAAAAGAATACTAACACATTGGGTACTGAGATTTGGTTTCGGCGCTTTCACTTTGTAGAGCGACTTGTAAATATCGTCGCCTATCAATTCGTCTTCCGGTGTAATAGCAAAGAGTGGAGCATCCCATCGATTTTTACCATCTGGTGCTTCGTATCTGTTGCATTTAACATTTGAACATTTATTTAAAGAGTATGTCTCCAGCAGGTTACCTGTAATTACCTTGCAACAAGTGCATCAAAAATTCCTCTGCTGTATCGGTCAGATTCTATTCGTTTGTCATTTAACATCCAAGCATGTTCAATTGGTATATCACAATAAATGGTGCATTGAGGAGTCTTATACAATTTTGTCATGCAGTATATCTCATATCGGTATCCTTTGATGTAATTGCTACCATCAAATATTAGTAGATTATGTATGTCAAGTTTACGTTGAATATCTGACTTCATGGCGCTTCTGACAGTCTTCTCCTTTTTTGAATCTGAAATATAACTTAGATTTGCTGTTTCTTGATTAAATATACGATTATTCAATAACAGGTTTAGTACAGTTTGACTTCTACTGACCAGCGTAGAACACATTTTTATCATAACCAGCTGTGACTATTGCATCAGATTCGCTAATTATTTCTATACTTTGTCCAGTGGCCTTTAATTTCTTCTCAAAGTAGTCTTTTATTTCGAGGCTCCTTGTTGTTTTTCCGCTACACGGATTACCCGTTATCACTATGAGAGGCATTTTAATATAATAAAGCCATGCAAAAAGTTCCAATGGTAAATTCACATTATTCTGCTATGGCCTGTAAAAAATTATGATGAAAATATAAAATAATTTAAATATACAAATTAGTATAACTAAAGTATCACAGCAAAACATAACCTAAAATATATAACCTTCAAATTACCACATAACGATTATCAATAAGTTTAAAACTTTAAATATAATGTACATAAATATATATAATTTGCATGTTTTCGAAAACTTGTTACACATACCATTATTATACATAAGCTGCATACTACCAGAGAGGAAGCTGAGAGCGGCCAACACGGCGTTTTCGGCGATACCGATTTTTCGCACTGGGAATGGGCGCTATCTGCATCCATTTTGAGAGGGGAACTACGATGCTACATCCACTTTTAGGTCTCGACGGTAAAACCTGCATCTGGTGGCTGTCCGTGCTACATCCACTTTCAGGCGGTTTATGTCCGTGCTACAACCATAATAGCGTACTTGACAAGCAAGGTCTCGCGCATTGTTATATATTTGTAACATGAATTAACATGTTAACATGCACAAAAAAAATAAGAATTGAGATTGTATATGATTAATATCATGAAGATTATATACGATTTATATCGATATATAAATATATGATAATAAGATAATATTTTGTGTGTACCCAAAATTATTTTTCCAAAATATTTCAGCATTACGTTAATATTTATTTATACTCAGGCAGGTGTTTTTTAGCGCAGTTGTGTCCGTATGCATGTGTTCCATTGAAAGTGTGCGTGACGTACGTGTGCATATACGCACTCACACACACACACACACACACATACCACGTGTCATACGCCACAGATAGAATCTCAGGGTATATGCTTAAACATTTTCAATTGCCATACGTTTCTATGTAAGAATGTAGTCGGCACACACATGTAGAGAAACTGCTCCCGTCTATCCGTCTGAAGTCCCGCCCACCGCTCGGCTTGTTTTGACGAGCCAAGCGAAAGAGAGAGAGAGAGAGAATGTGTTCTCTCCATCTCGCTCTGATTCGCAACGTTGCCGAGATTGTGCTTCCCGACACACGGCCGAGACTGACGTTTCACTCTCGGCGTGAATCCAACGAGATGATCAATAGCAATCGATTTCGACTAAACTCGTTGTGTCGATAGATTTGCATGACAAATTAACATTGCACTTAAAGATACGGCGTAGCATTGAAGCGTTTGCAAGAAAGTCGCGATTGAAAATCGCGAGTGCTTTATGAACCAAATGAAGGACGGAGCTTCTCAAAGAGCGTGTGGCTTGCTGGAAGTACGCTGGACTCGCGGGGTTGAGGTCGGTGGTTCGCATCCCCTTGGCGGTCGGCGTTATCTTTTTTCGCCAATCATTTTTTTTTTCGTTTTTTTAGGAAAATGCACGTGTTGCATACAACATACGTGTATCACAATTAATTTTTTTTCATTTTTTAAGAAAATGCACGTATTGCATACAACACACGGGCATCGCAAGCATTGCACGTTTCGTCGGTGACACTTCCTCTGAGACCCCGCCCTCCGCTTGACTTGTTTCGACGAGCCAAGCAAAAGAGAGACAGAGAATGTGTTCGCTCCATCACCTCTGTGAAGATGGCCCTTCATTCTTCAAATTTGAAAAAAATTATTAGAGTTCTGAATGCTCCTCGCAGAGTTCTAGAGTTCGCAATCCTTTATAGAAAGAGTTCCGTCATTTAAAGTAGAGAAAATACCATTTTAAAAATCGGAGGGCCAACTTCACGACGCCCCTCATTATGTAAAAAATGACAATTTTTTTAGAGTTCTAGATAGATATTTAATAGTTCTATAGTTCTAGATAAGTTTTAAAAATAGATCTGTTTAAAACAATAAGAAAAATTATATTTAAAATTCTCGAATTAGAAAACGAAAAATGGCAAGAACTCTACCAATTTTGGCTTTAGCGCGTCGCGTGTTAATAATAATCTTTAGAACTCGTGCGGGGCTAACCAGAACTCTGAATGAAACGTCGGATTTCCGAAAATAAATTTTCTGAGTGAGATGGGAGTCGCAATTTATGGAAAAATGTAGCGTTTTTACAATGAAATCCGGTGATCGAGGTGGAAAATCGATTGATCCATATTTGCCTATTCACGTATAGGGAAAAATATTATTATATTATCATTATTACATATTATTATTTCGATGCACGAATCACTACAGCTATCTTTCAGCAATTGAACGTACCTTGTATTTACAACTATCGCCGCTACCTGGCGCCCGATGGCATTGGCATACTCGGAGTTGAATTAACGACTCGGAGAGGATAAAATGCGAACGTAGCAGTTGTAAAGCATCGCTTCTCCGCTCTCTGAGCTAAGATAAAAGTGTAGTTAAGTCCCTCCTCCGGCTTGGTGAGCCGTCGGTGTGCGTGTCGCGTGGAAATTCGAGTGTGGATGTCGCGTTATGAACAGATTGGTTGGTAGGTCGACGCCACAGAGGAGATACTATATTTTAGTAATTGTGTAAATATGGCACATGGATGATGAAGCACATTGCCCAGGCCTACTAACCTGGGCAATTCTTCTATTAATTAAAGTGTACATATATGTAATATGCGTTTTTTGCTGCCCATTGTCAGGGGGGGCAGAATGTCCCCTGACTGTATAATATATCTTATATATTATATCTATTGCCCACTGTCGGGGGGGGCAGATTGTCCCCCGACAATAAATTATATAAAATTGGCGTCAGGCCTATGCCTGAAAATATACTGTATTTACCCCGGGGGGCATGCCTCCCGGGGAACATTTATTGTGTAAATAAATAGAAAATGTCGATATCCAGCCATGTAGTCAAAAATGTAGGGTTTTGAGAGGACTTTATTTTGGTGCCAGACCGAGGCCTGTATCTCTAACCGTTTAGGAGATATCGAAGGTTAAAGTTTTCCAACCTTTCTCCGTTGATATCTCCGCTTCTACTGGGAGTAGAGAGTCGCCACTTACGGCAAAATGTACGGTTTTGAGAGGACTTTAATTTGGTGCCAGAACCAGGCCTGTATCTCTAACCGTTTAGGAGATATCGAAGTTTAAAGTTTTCCAGCCTTTCTCCGTCGATATCCAGCCTTCCTCCGTCGATATCTCCGCTTCTACTGGGAGTAGAGAGTCGTCCATGTAGTCAAAAATGTAGGGTTTTGAAAGGACTTTAATTTGGTGCCAGAACCAGGCCTGTATCTCTAACCGTTTAGGAGATATCGAAGGTTAAAGTTTTCCAACCTTTCTGCGTTGATATCTCCGCTTCTACTGGGAGTAGAGAGTCGCCACTTACGGCAAAATGTAGGGTTTTGAGAGGACTTTAATTTGGTGCCAGAACCAGGCCTGTATCTCTAACCGTTTAGGAGATATCGAAGTTTAAAGTTTTCTGAAGTAAAGATTTAACATTTAATACGTACTTTTATTTTTTCTGCTCCTCACCCCCTCTCCCCCGCTCTTTTTAGACCACACGGGCATAGTCTGGCATAGAGATGGCAACTGTCATTGCAGCACGGACATAAACCGCCTGAAAGTGGATGTAGCATGGACTTCCACCATATGCAGATTTTACCACCGAGACCTGAAAGTGGATGTACTATCGTAGTTCCCCTCTCAAAATGGATGCAGATGGCGTCCTTTCCCAGTGCGGAAAGTCGGTGTCGCAGAAAATGTCGTATTGGCCGCTCTCAGGTTACTCTCTGATACTACAAAGTACAAGATACTTGGGGTCTGTTCTTTATAGCTGCACTGCTGAACTGATGTAATAAGTTAAAATGAGACAACTATATTTTTTCTCACTCTAACTTATTGCACTAGTTCAGCAGTGCTGCTATAATAACCAGATCCTTGGTCTGTTCTTTTTAATTGCACTGCTGCACTGATTCAATAAGTTATGGCGTATTCACACCTAGGCAGAAAAATAGGTTGCGTTCAGAAAACAAAGCGCTCACTGAGCGCTTAGTAACTATTGGTTCTTACTGTTAGATCCTTACATTCAGACCAATAACGTTGACGAATTATTCAACCGTTGTGTAACCGTTGTGTTTTCTGAACGCAGCCATAGAAAGCAGGAAGGCAGCAGCCAAGAGAATGACAGAGCGAAAAACTCTTGCAAGAGAAAGACAGACTATCAGCGTCATTTATGATTGGCTGCTACCTTTCTGCTTTCTGATTTCTGCCCAAGTATGAATGCGTCCCACGCCTGGGCAAAAAAGCAGAAAGCAGAAAAGTAACATCCAATCGCAAGTGGCGCTATAGTCTGTCTCTCTCTTGCGAGAGTTCTCTCTGTCATTCTCTTGGCTTCTGCTGTTCTGCTTTCTGCTTTTCTACCTAGGTATAAATGCGTCTCCAGAGTGAGAAAATATCATTGGCCGCGTTCAGTAGAACAAAGTGATCAGAGAGCGCTTAGTGATTATTATCTGTGATTGGAGCATTCTTTTAGATTCTTCATAGACCCAGAAGTATTTATCAATCAGGAGCGAGATTCAGTGGAAAATTTAGTAATGTTGTCCAACTGTTGAGTCTGCTGAATGCAGCCATTGAATAAAGGACTCAAGGAAGAAGCATATCGGTAAAGTACGTAAGGGAAGATGCGATGGATGTAACGCCATACTATTTTACCGAAAACGAGTATCGATAATTGCAAGTCGAATTGACTGTCCATTGGGGGGAGAGAGAGAGAGAGAGAGAGAGAGAGGGAGAGGGAGAGAGAGAGAGAGAGAGAGAGAGAGAGAGAGAGAGAGTAAAGCCAGCGGCACACGGTGCTTGTTTTCGTGCTGGTTTGCTTGCTGGATGAAAATACTGCGTTCTGATTGGTGCATTTCCATCCATCTTCGGAAATGTACCAATCAGAACGCAGTATTTTCATCCAACAAGCAATCCAGCATGAAAACAAGCACCGTGTGCCGCTGGCTTTATTGCAATTGTAGACCGCGCTTTCGAGTATGGCCAGAGTACAGACTTCTGCGTAACGCATAATGCATAAGAGAATTAACCAATCAGAGTTCTTCATTTCTATCCTGAGGAGGGAAATAAAGAAAACGAATTGGTTTATTCTTTTATGCGTTATGTATTATGTGTTATGCAAAAGTCTGTGCTCTTGTTCTAAGGCTGTAAGGCTGTAAGCTATCAGCGAATGAAAATATTTCATTTCGTGTCTTACAATCTTACGGGCCAGAGCACAGACTTCTGCGTGACGCATAATACACAACGCATAAGAGAATCAACCAATCAAAGTTCTTCATTTCTGTCCTGAGGAGGGAAATGAAGAAAACTAATTGGTTGATTCTCTTATGCGTTATGTATTATGTGTTATGCAAAAGCCTGTGCTCTTGCTCATATA